ACGTCGGTTTGGGATTTTGGTATAAAAATTGAAATACCCTTTTTGTTAGCCAGTTCAGATAAGTGGTTAGCTTTCACACCGGCCATCTCGTTATGTCGAAAAAGGAGAGCGTATTTGAGAGAGACGTAGCAGGCTGATCTAAGCTCTAAAAGCGAGGCCTCAGGACCTGCGAAAAGGTCGATAATTGCTTTAACCTGACTAAGTGAAATTGGCTGTTTTTGTACACTTGAACCAACCTACAAGGAATGCACATTATGCAAATTAGAGCCCGCATATGGCTGGTCAAACAAACAAAACTAAATTTCTGCTCGGCACTATACGCGCCTCGTAAATTCCAATCCACACTTTCTTTTGTATTTTCCTTAACAGAAACACTTCTTGTAAAGGACAAAAATCACAATATTGATCCTGTTTGCACCCCCCCCCCCAAAAAAAATGCTCGCGGTCATTCGTCACTCGTTAACTATAATAAGGTCAGAATTTATATCGTGCAGTTGGGGGAACCATAAACGAACGGACACTTGAGGTAAACAAATATCACTCGCTCTCTTGCTACAATGGGCGTACGGGCGTGACAAGTCGCATAATATATAGTTGTTAGCAGGTGGTACGGTCATATCCATACCATATACTTTGTAATTGATGCATCGACCGATAAAAATATAAAACCCCCACACCGAGAAAGATATATATCACAAAGATATAAAACCCCCTCGACCGAGAAAGATATAAAAGATCAGCCCCCACAGGCAACAGACTGAATCATTTACTGCAGGAGAATGGAGGGGGATGAGTTCCGACGTGCTGCCGGCGAGGTGGCTGATTTTATCGTGGACTACCTGAAGGGCGTCAAGGACCGTCCCGTGCTACCCTCCGTAGAGCCAGGCTACCTGCACAAATTGTTACCTGCGAACGCGCCCCAGCAACCCGAGGCGTGGCAGGACATCATGACGGATATACAAGACAAGATCCTACCAGGGGTGAGTTGTTTGCACGCAAACAAAATGTTTCAAAACCTGCAGTCGATGATAGGCCTACCATTCGGATGAAGCAGTAGGACAACCTGATAAGGCCAAAAAAAGTCTCCGGTTTCTGGTATGGAGCTTGCCCCAAAAGTGGTGCGGCGACGCGGCTTTTTTTTTTTTTACCTTTTTTTTTTTTTTTTTGGCTTCAAATGTCGGCTGATGACTGCAAATGGTGCCCGACTAAACTTAGTGCAAATATATGGGAGTCCAGAGAGGCCACATAAAGCTTATTCTCGATCATAACCCCATCTAAAAACACGTTAAAATTGTGCAGCAGCAGGATTCCAGTCAAACCACTGAGTTTGGCGGTTTTGAGACATCATCTTGTATTGAAAAAAAACTTTTTCATTTTGCCGACGCGCATGGCTGCGGCGACGCAAATTGCAAATTCACCTTTATATCAAAGTCTACTTAAGTTGCGTAGCTGGTGTTCAGTTCGCAGGAGGAAACACTCAAGGGGCCCCATTTTCTTGAGGAGGGGGGGGGGGGCATTCAGCGATGGGTTGATAATAAAAAGCTTATTTTTGCCCCGAATTCCGAGCGTGGGGCTGCAAAAAGGAGGCAGGCCGGGGGGGAGGTCTTCCGCCCGACCCTCATATAGGCCTATAGTTACTTCTTCAAATCACGCCGAACAAAACCCTCAAAATCAAACAATACTTTCCAGTTTATTATGAAATTAACAATAATGTTCTAATAACAAAGTTTTTATTTTACAACAACAGCTTGTTGTTCTTGTTCATCTTGACATCTGGTGTTTTTTGGTTTTTGTTTTTGGTATTCTCATTTTTGTTCCTGCTAGATAATGAAAAATGAATGGATTGGGAAATGCTTGCCTGGATATTTACAGCCACTGTGATGGCGCACATAATTACGGACGATTTATTTAACTTGGGAGATGATGGGCCGATCGTTCCAACTCCAGAAATGTTTACTGATCGCTCCCCCTCCCCCCCCCCCCTTCAAAAAAGATAACGACGTTGTCTTTCCATTGTGACCGTGCAAAGAAGTAGTATAAGTGCTTAAACAGGACCTTCAGAAATTAGAGCGTTCAAGCCACTTTAAGTTAAAGGTCACGTTCCCTATGACCCTGCTCTCCGAACTTGACGTATGAAAAAAAATGCGACGCCTGACCGTCCGCTTGCCAGTAGCCTTGACCAAGGCGTTGGGCTTATCGATTCGCCGATAAAAAAAATCGCCGATAAGAAAATCCCTAATCAACTTGGCAAGGCGTAATTGCGTGCACATATCGATGCCCGTACGTTTCTAGTGAGAAAGTAACTTGTACCATACAGCAAGGCTATGCTTGTACACGTACTCGTACAACAGCCATGCACACACAGTACATGCATGAGCTAGTCCGCGTAACCCAACGCCTTGATGGTTTTGAGTTGACCCAGCAAAACCTATTACGGTAATGAGGTACCACCCCCGCGTATACTGAATTCTCATTGGTCAGCCCGCGATAGGGAATGAGATCCGGAATGGGACCGTTCGAGAACCGGGCGAGCTCGGCCCGCCCAGTAAGCTGCCGCCCGCTTCGAACACTGTACCCGCCCGGTTACTCAAGCGTGACGCTCGGTTGCCTGCTGGAGTGGCCCTCTGGGTCACAACAATAGCTGTTATCAACGGATTAGTGGTTATTGTTCGAGGATTACAGCGCCCAACTCAGGTTGGGTTGGTGTGGAATTTTATTCTTTTCTATCTTCATAGAATGCAAGTATTTTATGTTTGCATGAAATCATTTGACAAATAAACTTGAAAAAACTGCCTAGTTTGCAAAGTTCTATATATGAACAATGGTTAAAAGCTAGATGATCAAGGTGTGAATTTTTTTCTTTGAATTTTTCGAAATACGATGTTCGATATCTATATTCTCGGAATTGATCAAATGTACGAAATACCTCATTCTGTATTAATTGAAATAAAGTATTCCCCATATGACGAACATGAATTGTTTTGCGTGTGGTAATAACGTGATGTTTTTGAATTTTAGACTACAACACCGCACTTGCCCCTTATTCACGTTAATGCATACGCATTTTAAACAGAAAAGTCTGATACCCGTTTGAGAATAGAAGCGGGCGGGCTTGACCCCCGATCGGTACGAAGTGGCCCACTCGGTAGCCCCGATCGGTATGCATACTGGGCACTTTTTTATTCAAGCGTGACGCTCGAGAAGCGGGTGGGAATGACCCACTCTGTAGCTCCCGATCGGTATGAACGCTCGGTTATTCAAGCGTGAGCTTGGTTGACTGGAGTGGCTCTCTTGGTCGCTATCAACGGATTAGTGGTTATTGTTCGAGGATTACAGCGCCTGGCCAACTATGGTTTGCCCTGGCTATGATTATCTGCAGAAATTTCTTTGCCAAAGAGTATAGAATGACAGTACATGTATTTTCTTTGCATGAACACGTGTAAATGTAGGCCTATATGGGTTTTACTGATTGCTTGACGTACAACGTATTATTTTCCCCCTTTGTTTTAAGGTTTAAGTTTTTCTGTTGACGCAAAAACTTCATTCACTTTAAATCCTGAAACCAGATTTTTATGTGTACATTTTTTGTTCACCCTGAGACTCATTTCAATTAATAGTTGGAATATTTTTTTCTAGCTATTCTAATTTCTATCTAGAAAATATGCAAGATAAGACATTGCAAAATTGTACGTGAACACGCACATTCTAATAGTCAAACCATTGAGCTGTGAAAGCAACTTGTGAATGACTACTACATGGACCACGTTCCCGCCCGTTGTCCGTGTACGGGACCCGGTGTCATACGAAAATCGGACTCGTATGAAAATCGGACTCTTTTCCCCTTTTATTGGTTAAACCCTCTCACGTGACCGGTCCATCTCCTAATTGTCTATGCAAGGGCATGCGCAATACCCCCAATGAGTCCGTACTTCATACAACCTAAATTCATGCTACACTGGCGTCAAGTGAGCGCAGAGCAAACCTTCTTTGTCATTCATTGAACGGTCTCCCTCATGTCTTTATATCGAATACATACAGCGTAGCGGGGGGATATCTAACCGAAGGAACAGCCCATGACGTATACTGCTTTGTTGCAACGCGGGATTGGGTGTCAGACAGAAAGTGTGATACACGCTGTAAACATAATAGTCTGATACCCTTTCACTATACTTTGTGATACACGAAAAATCAATCAACTTAAAAGTGACATTTAATCTGTTCACATTGTGCCCCCCAACCCTGGAAGCGAACTGATTAGTTGTTGTTTGAATTGCGCATTTAAATAACGTCTATATATGTATTTGGATATTGGGCTAACCGGAAAGCTTTTATGTTCAGTCTTCGTCTTCTCAAATCAATAGTGTGCTTTAATCACTAGATTACGGATACAGTTGTTTATTTTTTTATGCTTTTTTACAAAAAGTTTTCTGTGTAATTAATGATCTTCGGTGGCTTTTATCATCATCACGAAGAAATGTTCACACCACCATCAGAATAGATCAAGGGAAAATAATAAAGGTAATGGTAATAACAACAATAAAACGAAAAGACGAAAAGAAAATCAAAGGTTGAAAGCTCTCCATCTTTATTATTGTTCATCATCGGTATACCTCTTTCCCTTTCCTGCCTTTGGACTATCTGTTGAACGAAAAAAATTAATTAATGCACGTAAATAGAACAAACTGGGGAATTCTGATCTTAATACTGCACAAAATACCAACCCCGTTTGCTTTAAAAGTCAGATTCAGGGATTCATCGGTGCAAGTCCATATACATTTGTATACATTTAAGGGGAGAAAAACGTACATGTACCACGTAACTAATTGAAACCCATGTTCACTGATCACTCAAGCTTTTCAATAGGCCTGCGAGGGCAATGGGTCACCAACAATAGCAGTCCACGGGAGGGATTACCGGCGGCGCGCCCTTTGATTTGCCGGGTCTTTGTTACCCAGCAGTGAGGATTATCGCCTCGCAAATTGCTTCTTTTGTTAGGTTCAGGAGAGGGACCGCCAGTCAGACTTGTACTTCGTTCTCTTAATCCGAGCTCGCCCACTTTGGAGAGGAGTCCCAATCCCTTTCTCGGAGTGGGCGAGGCTTAGCCCAGACCGTCTGGGAACCGGGCGGTAAGGGATCTCAAGAATAAGGCCAACAAACACGTTGCATCCGCGAAGAAACGCTGCAATGGCGGCCCGTTGCTGTGGGTGAAAGTCGTTCAGTCCCAGTCTGTCCGAAGCAGTATTGAAGGCTCCAACGAATTCTGCAGGTAATGCTGTCATAAGACGATCGTTGCCCACTCAAATGGATTCATTACACGAGCCGAAAAACTCGAATCAATGTCAAATTATTGAAAAAGTGACGAACATTTCGCTCTCGCTAAAAAGACATCAGTAAAGACATGGAAGACGCCATGATGAGTAATGCATTATGCATGCCGCGCGACGTCACATGATTCTTGTGAAGCTAACGATTGGTCAGCTTAAAAATGAATTAATCATACTATTGGGAAGGTTGTTTCATGTGATTGGTCCAAGACGAACCTACATAATCATGCACGGCATACCCGCATATCCTGAAGCCCGCCCATTTTTTTCCAAAACTGGACGAAAAAGTAAAGAAAGACATTAAACCCGGAAGTTGCAGACCCAACAAGGCGGTCGTTCGACAGGCCACGCGGCGCGTATATCCCCCACACGTACGTACGTACACCCACACGCAGAACACAGTAGGCCTACATTTACTGCCTTATAACACCATGCGTACAGTCCGTACTCGCGTGTGTGTGATTGCTGGTTTGTGTTAGTACCGAACCGTTCGTACGGACAAGGGTCGGTGGTACACGCACGTAGCCGCGTTGATTGTGGGTGCAGGGCCCGATTATCTCCCTTCGACAAAAAGCCGAGAGACCGCATTGAACAAGGCTACTTGTCCAGCGGATATGTGACAAAATATCGATGAAATGTGCACTTTTGCATAAAAGCGTGAAACTGGGCACAGATGTTTATATTCATGCGAGAAAATGTTTTAGATGTGGAGCCATCTCAAATTTACCCTTTTAGGGGCGTGGCATCCATTTAAAAAAAAAGGGGGCGGGACTTGTCGTGCCCGCAGTGAAAATGGTTTTTCCCACTTGTTACAAAAGCAGGAAACTTCACAAAGACATAATTATATAGATTATTAGTGTTTTCCAGATTCGGAGCCACCACAATAGTACCTTTTGGGGGGCGTGGCAGCCATTAAAAGAAAAGGGGGGGTAATTATTATGCCCACTTTGGAAAACATTGTGCCCATATTTCATGAACGAATAAAACGTCCCACAGACGTTTATATTCATGAGAAAAAAAATTCCAGATGTGGAGCCATCTCGAACACACCCTTTTAGGGGCGTGGCAACCATATAAGAAAAAAAGGGGGCAGGGTTTTCATTATGCCCACCCTGGAAATATTGTTCCCACACTCATAGAGAAATGGAACTTTCCAGAAACATTGACATTCATAAGAAAAAAAATTCCAGATGTGGAGCCATCTCGAACACACCCTTTGAGGGGCGTGGCAACCATATAAGAAAAAAAGGGGCGGGGTTTTCATTATGCCCACCCTGGAAATATTGTTCTCCATTCATAGAGAAATGGAACTTTCCACAGACATTGACAATCATGAGAAAAACAATTCCAGATGTGGAGCCATCGCGAACACACCCTTTTAGGGGCGTGGCAGCCATATTGAAAAAAAAGGGGGGGCGGGGTTCTCATTATGCCCAACATGGAAAAAATGTGCCCACATCTCATAAACGAATGAAGCTCATTCCCACAGACATTAATATTCACGAGAAAAAAAAAGTCACACCTGAAGCCATCGTAAACACACCGTTTTATGGGCGTGGCAGCCATAGTAAAATGGGGGGAGGGGGTTTGTCATGATGCCCCTATAAAAGAAAGTCATGCCTACCTTTCATTAATGGATTAAACTCCACACGGACAATATATTCATGAAAATCTTTCCTTTTTTTGTAATTTGAAGCCATCACAAACTTATCCTTTTAGATGCATGGCAACTATTTAAAAAAAAAAATGGGGGGGGTGCTACTAATCATTTGCCCACCATCGAACTTTCATAAATGACTAAACTTCACACAAACTTGGTGCAAGATAATAAATTCATATGTAGAGCCACAGCAAACTCATCCTTTTAGAGGTGTGAGGGGCCTTCTCACTGTGCCCACAATTGCAATTTTTATATTTTGTTGTTGATTTCTTATAATGTTGATTGGCCCATAACCTATATTATTTGGTAATACAATGACTTACACCAAAGAGCATGGGTAAGTACCGGTAGGTTAACCCGTGTTATAGGGTTCAATGTGTGTACTTGCACCTATATTATCATGCACATCTAAATTACAGAGTGATTTCATAATTACAAATACACAGCACACAATGGCAGCCCTAAATGGGAATCCTTTTTTTAAGGGGGGGGAGTGTAAAATCCCCCTACCCCCTACCCGTTGCGCCGCATTGACAGCAGATTGGGTAACAACACGATGTACTCGCCTCACAAAGTGGTGGACACGTCCACTATGACTTCACATTCAATGAATCTGTGTACCCCCACCACACAACCCCTTTTGGTCTGTCAGAAAAAAAGGCAGGGGAAAAAATGTATTTGGAGAAGTAACACTAGTCTTTCCAGGACTAACAGAGGTACCCCAGTTTATACCCCAATTCAGATATCGCTGCAGTTGAAAGGTTAACAATAATTCTACAGACGACAGAACCAGTAACTGCGTTAATATAGATGAGGCAAGAATGCATAGTGAAAGAAAACAAAGGATTTGCCAACAGTAACTTCCAACTATAAAGGCGGCCCTACTCCAACACATTAAACAGCTATATGGGGTTAAACAGCTATATGAAACGCGGTCAAAATTTTCCACGTTGTGCATATTGAGTACCCCCCCCCCCCCCATTTTTCAAAATGAACGCCGAGCCTCTAAAAGGGTAGGTTTGTGATGGCTTCACATTAAAAAAAAATTGTTTATGAATATATTGTCCGAGTGGAATTTAATCCATTTATGAAAGGTAGGCACCACTTTCTTTTATAGGGGCATCATGACTACCCCCCCCCCCATTTTATTATGGCTACCACGCCCCTTAAAGGGTGTGTTTACGATGGCTCCACGTGTGATTTTTTTTCTCGTGAGTATTAATGTCTGTGGGAATAGCTTCATTCGTTTATGAGATGTGGGCACATTTTTCCCATGTTGGGCATAATGAGAACCCCGCCCCCTTTTTTCAATATGGCTGCCACGCCCCTAAAATGGTGTGTTCGCGATGACTCCACATCTGGAATTTTTTTTCTCATGAATGTCAATGTTTATGGAAAGTTCCATTTCTATATGAGTGTGGGAACAATATTTCCAGGGTGGGCAAAATGAAAACCCCGCCCCCCTTTTTTTCTGATATGGTTGCCACGCCCCTAAAAGGGTGTGTTCGAGATGGCACCACATCTGGAATTTTTTTTTCTCATGAATGTCAATGTTTGTGGAAAGTTCCATTTCTCTATGAGTGTGGGAACAATATTTCCAGGGTGGGCATAATGAAAACCCCGCCCCCTTTTTTTCTTATATGGTTGCCACGCCCCGTAAAGGGTGTGTTCGAGATGGCTCCACATCTGGAATTTTTTTCTCATGAATGTCAATGTTTGTGGAAAGTTCCATTTCTCTATGAGTGTGGGAACAATATTTCCAGGGTGGGCATAATGAAAACCCCGCCCCCTTTTTTTCTTATATGGTTGCCACGCCCCTTAAAGGGTGTGTTCGAGATGGCTCCACATCTGGAATTTTTTTTCTCATGAATATAAACGTCTGTGGGACGTTTTATTCGTTCATGAAATATGGGCACAATGTTTTCCAAAGTGGGCATAATAATTACCCCCCCCCCTTTTCTTTTAATGGCTGCCACGCCCCCAAAAAGGTACTATTGTGGTGGCTCCGAATCTGGAAAACACTAGTAATCTATATAATTATGTCTTTGTGAAGTTTCCTGCTTTTGTAACAAGTGGGAAAAACCATTTTCACTGCGGGCACGACAAGTCCCGCCCCCCTATTTTTAAATGGACGCCACGCCCCTTAAAGGGTGAATTTGCGATGGCTCCACATCTAAAACATTTTCTCGCATGACTGTGCCAGGGTCAAGTTTCACGCTTTTATGCAGAAGTGCACAATTTTTTCACATATCCGCTGGACTACGCTGGGGTGGTATTAAAATCTAATCCCCTTGGAGTGAACAAGGTGCCAAATGTATGGGTTTAACAGATACCCATAATCAGCCCCCAGTTTTGATGTTTCCGGCCATCATTGCCTTTCAGATCCTGTGACCCATGGCCTACCTATTGGCCGATTAAAGGGGGCACAAAAAACGTTAAAGATGTAAAAAAAAAAAAATAATAATAATAATAATAAATAAATAAATAAACATGAAATATTTTCGGAAAATGAACTAAAAAAGCATGGGTTTGTTTTAATTCATCACAATATACGGTAATGAATACCCAAGCCTCAAGGAATCGCCCATTGAATGTCACTCAGCAATATTTCCTGCTAAAATGAAATTGATTCCCGACCACAAGCCAACGGTTTAGTCCTTAGCATTTACATGACCAGACGGCCATCTCGGGACGTTTTCTTTGAAAATGGACGAGGTCTGCTCACATGCATCAATGTGGAACATAAGGACTGCACCTCCACAGGCGCGGATCCAGGGGAGGGCCGCGGGGGCACGTGCCCCCCCCCCCCCCGTAAAATTTGAGTCAAAAAAAAGGGAATAAAAAGAGGGAAAAAAGAGGGGGAGGTGAGAGAAAAGGAGGGAAGGAGGAGGGAACCTCCTTACAAAAATACCGGCGCCGATATTAAACATGAGCCTGCAAACATTGCGTACTTAAAAGAGATATGTTTGTTCTTAGGACAAAAACAATCAGCAGTTAATTGCCCAAAGGCAAGTTTTAGCACTCGAGACATGCTCTTGCAAGCTAGACAGAACGCAGTGTGTTTTTGAATTGTAAACGAGATAAATTTGATCGTAGTTCGCCGGTGGTGTACACCAATTCCTTATGTCTATTTGTCAACGTTATCATCAACATTTTTTCACAAAACAAAATGACAAATCCACCTTCAAAATCGTACCATGTGGAAATTGCAATCATTGCGCCGAAAGGCCCGATGTCTATTATATTTTGTAAAGACCAGACGCAATGTCTCGCACAATTTGTCCTGCTGCGCCGCCGATCTGCCGATGGTTTATTTACAAATACATGCACGTGTAATAGGCCCTATTCTTGAAATTGAAACTGGACTGAATTAAAAGAACATTTCTTTAAAATGTTTGGGCATTTTACATTATGCAAAAAAAAGAGGGAGAAATGTGTATGACCGCATGATAAATTTCTGTATTCATGGGATAAAACTGAGCTGTGAAGTTACAATGTGCATGGAGGCTAATTGCTCCTCTGTTTTAGTTCGATTAAATTGCACTAATTTTAAACTTGAATTCAATTTACATGTTCAAGCGGTTTGTTCTTGTTAATAAACTGAATATTTCAACTTGAAACAAAACATTAGAAAGCATCCTTGCAGCAGTTTACAAACTACGTTTTTACAATTCCTTTTTCAAAAATATAATGCACGAAAACACGCAGACGAAAATACATAGCATCAAATGAAGAACAGAAGAAACTAATAGAAGGCTTGCAAAAGTAAGAGTATATTTAACTCAATGAAAAAAATCTTATAATCTTTTCTATCATTTGGCAATGGCGCTATATTAATAAATACCAGTTGTTATTATTATTGTTATGAAACTTTGGTTTGATGATGGAGATTATTTGGTTTAATTTACTTACTTTGATTGACAGATGACCCACTGGCAGCATCCTCATTTCCACGCCTACTTTCCCGGTGGCAACTCCTACCCCTCGATGCTGGGCGAGTTACTCACAGCCGGTCTTGGCAGCATCAGTTTTACCTGGGTAAGAACAGTACAGTCGACTCTCGTTAAAGGGAAGATACAACATTTGCAAACATCAAAAAACGAAATGATCAAATTGTCACGAAATACCTTAGGGACTGACAGTCTAAAGCATCCTGTAGAATCATGGCTCCTGGTGTGCTGACATTTTTAGGAAAAAGTGTATTTTCCAACGCTGGTTTGCTGACCAGCGTTAGAAACAACTCAATTTTTTCAAAAACTGCTCCTGAATTTTCATATTTAGTTACTCCGTATTTTCCTTACAATTGATAACACACCTGTGAAGGAGTACAAGCCTGCTGGACTGATTGTCTAACTTTACAAATCCCCAAAGTCCATATATTGCTCAATTTCATCTTGAGTGGGGTCAGGGAACCAGACTACAAGCGCATGATTGGTTTTCTGTGTTTTTCCAGCATCTACAAGCCCAACACGTGAAACAAGTCAGTTCAACAATACATTGTACTATAACATACATTGCACTATAACATGCTAATCCTCCAACTCCACTTATTTATGTAAATCGCAGCAAATGCAAATGTTGTACATTGCCAACCAGGAATTTCCATCCAGGAATTTTACAAACACCGTTTATACCAATTCTGGTTATAACAAACATAAAGTCTTGCCCCCACTGTGTTTTACGTTCCTCTACTTCGGCAGAGTTTGTATTAACGAGAGTCAACTGTAATTAAAACTGATTACAGATGGTTCAACTTTGTTGACTACAGAGTGAGTCAAAAAGAAAGTGACCTGGATAAACGAGTGACGCTAATGAATATGCTAATCTACCATACGTTATTGTGTTGCTGTGCCGAAATCGGTAAGCCGTAGCGCCTACGACGCTTTGCTGAACAATGCACATGGGTTGGGTCGGGAAAATAATTTTTTAGATCCTCTTCGAAATTTTCCAAGGAGATGATTCAAGCTGGAACATTAGCGTCTGCAACAACAGATTAAGCTGAAATTCGGAATATACTTAGATGATAGAAGTGTTCAACTACTCGTGAAATAAAAACTGTGATAAATTCCTATAAATTGGGATAAAAACACACATTTGGGGAAGTTTTCGAACGATTTCTTCCAGACTTGAAGGTCAGCTTTGACAGTAACCAGTATTGACGTTTCGGCATCGATGACGGCGATTTTTTTCACTGACATGAAGTTTAGAATTTCTTCTTCAATTAGAATGTAACATTTCAATCATACCGAGCATATTTCTGAGAAACGCAACGTTCAAAAGGCCATGTTTTTGGGGCTCACGAATTTCAATGCTCTGTAACAGCGTCTTAGTACGTAATCGGATTAGCTTTCCTCGACAACGACTGACGCTTTGCCTTCGCAACCACAATCATGACTGGTGCCTAGGGCCTACGAACCACTAAATCCGGGCCTGGACTTTATTCACCAGTCGGCCATTATTAAATTGAAAGCGAGGTAAACTCTTTATTTTTGGAAATTGCGAGTAGAAATGAAAGCAATGAGAAAAAAAGTTCATTAAATCAATACCAGACTGCTTCAGGCCATTAAGGCCACCATACTCCATCAATAGTTAGTCATGCCAGGCCTTCGATCTGGACCAAGTCCCCCAAAATCCACCCAAATGGGGGGGGGGGGATTCTGATGGAGTTGGGGTGGTCAGGGTTAAAAGTCAATATTCAACAGCTCTACCCACTGTCGGCCTCTTAAAATTGGTAAAATGGAAATGTTATCTGGAGGACCTATTATTATTTTGATGTGATTTAAATCCCCCTTTGTAGATCGCAAGTCCCGTAATGACGGAGTTGGAGACGGTTATGATTGATTGGGTAGGACGCATGATGGATCTACCAAAGGAACTGCTGCCGTACACCGAGGGGGGTACAGGGGGAGGGGTCATCCAGGTAAGCATGTGAATGCCGAGTCATATATAAGTCCAACCATCTGAGGTGTGCATGTGTTGATTGAACTTTAAGTGAACCTTATTGGTAATTCAACAGATTTGAGGATTTGAAGCAGACTGTAGGGTTGCGGTACGTGTGTCCATGGGCAAGATATTTTACCTTTATTCAAGGCGTCTCTCCACAGTACCTGTGAGGGTAGCGATGGTTGTGTTTGAATCTATCTGGAGACAAAATGCCAGCAACGAGCTTGCATACCAAAATTACGGCATTGGGTACTGAGAAATGGTCTAAGGAATGTATTATGGGCCCGATAAGCAGGGGTATGTTTAAAGCGCCTGGATCCTTACTGAAATCGCAATATAAACACCACTCATGATATTAAGTGCAAATTTCCTTGCCAATGCACCTTTGGTGTTTCGATATTTCCGGCGCATTCATAACTGGTTTTTAGCTGTGGGTAGCAGCTCAAGAAATCGTCATGTCTCTCCGTTAGTTAGTTAGTGAGTTAGTTAGTAACAAACGTTAACATTGTCTATTGCTCCTACATATTTTGACCGATTTCAACCAAACTTTGTCAAAAGTATCAGTAGCCCAGCCTCAACATGTCACATGACCAAACTGGGGTCAAAGGTCATCATGGGGTCACTGGGGTCAAAAACCTGATTTTTTTTTAACTCGAAACACTCAGAAATGGCACAATCACGTGACTCATGCATGAACGCGAATTCGTTGGCCCGCAGCTTCCGAGGTCCGATCGAGCTATGTAGGCCTACTTGGGTGCACTAACATCAAAATTTCATGCGCCTTTCGTAAATGAATACCACTATAAAGATCACCGGCAAGGCAAAGGAACATGTCGAAAATGGTCAAGAAACTATATTGTGCGGCCTCCGGACATATCCATGTGGAACGCCTATACCAAACATATTCTTATATCTTGAAAGTATCCGAATGCGGCGCAACATCTGGTAACACGATTTGGCTAAGGAGAGGGCGGGGACGGAGGTTGGCATTGTTGCTGGCGCTGTGAATTAACTTGAAATTACCAATGCCGAAGATTGAACTCTGAAACATCAGAACTCTAATACAAATCCAGATGGGTAATCATGCGTGCAGATGGAGAGACAAAATCGGTTAAATGGACTAAGGTTTTGCTGAGTTTGTGGAAAGTATATTAATTTGTCAAATACTAAAGTCGAATGTGTTTCACTAACAGTGAGGTTTTTGCAACGGCACCATTTGTTGAGTTCAAAGTAGGAAAGATATGTAAACTTCATCATATCAAAAGTAGCGTTAGGTCGTCCTCCCCAAATTTGATGTTTGTTTCCATCAATTCTAATCTTGCTCGGATCGTGGCACAGCTGGAGTTCTCGGACCCTGAAATCGGCTTCGGCATAACGAAGTTTCATAACTAGGCCTATTATGTTCCCAAAAACATTTAACAACATCACAGCAGCAATCTATGTCACAGTGTCATCGAGTTCCATTATTTTGTTCTTGAACACAAAGACAAGTTATATTTTAATCTGTTTAGCCATGTTGTTTATGCTAGGGCTCCTCCAGCGAGTGTACCCTTGTGTGTATGTTTGCGGCCAGAACCAAAACCATCACTGCCTTGAAGGAGACCCACCCAGGGGAAGATGACTGCATCCTGCTGTCCAAGCTGGTGGCCTATTTCTCGGAAGAGGTACATGTTTAATTCAAGGTTACCAAACAGATCCTCCCCTCGATTTCCTGTTGAAAAACCAAAGGTGGTTTAGGGCCTTTTTACCGCTGGGTGACTATTTAAGTGGATGCATGCGTGGGCCTTTATCGGTGTTGAAGTCGAGGTACACCTAGGGCCGACTTGTGATGATCGCAAGACACTCACAATTCGATCTCAAGTCATCCAGTCCCAAGTCGACCCACAAATTATTCGAATGAACAATAGCCGGATGTCGCGCTTCGCGCGGCACCCCGCTAACTGGGTGGGGTCGTAAAGTTTGTTGACCTCAATATGCATGTTGACCCCAAGTGGGCGTGGTAAAACCTTCGTGAAGCAATTTGGCCACATTTTGCCATCATTAACGTTATGTTTTGCGTAATAGCGATAGGCCTTCGTTTTGGAGTGTTTTCATAGAGATAATATGTTGTAATATTTAATTACTCAGAGTCACAAAGAAACGAATTTGCCACAAAAACAACAACCAAAAAACCCCCAAATAAATCATTGTTTTCACGTGCAAACGGTGACTTCAGAAGACAGCGAAAGCAGAACATATACCATTTAAGGATACACTGGCTTCCGCACACTGGGCCTTTTACAAGAAACAAACGTGACACACAGACATCAGACAGACACAAGACAAACAGACAGACAGTGTAGGATCTTTTAATATAGGATTGTGACAAAGGCATTCCTTCTTTATTGTTCATCATGTTGTTACTTGTAGCAGCGGATTGACACGTGATTTATCATGACCGGACCCGTGATGTACTTTCGATCCATCAGTATACCTCGACTACACACTTGTGCTTACGATATGACTTTTATGAGAAACTTTGGGAAGTTGAAGTATAGGTCCGTGTTAGTGTAGATTTTATTTATTTATTTATTCCATTTCTTTACCCAGGGTATGCCCAAACAGTTTAAAACTGGTTTCCATTGGGGCCCTGCATACAATAAATAATGACTACAAACATGTATAATTATACAATACATTACAAATGCAATAAAATTCAATACAGTGAGATAAAATATTATTTGAATAATGCATAGGTGTTAAGCAAATATTATAAATACAATATATTTTTAAACTATTATAACTACATGTACAGTATGAATGCTTTACTGTAAAGCTGATTCAGTGAACACAAAAAAAATTGGATCTATCTTGTAATATCAAGAAAAGAAATTAAATATTGCTGTAACTATATTCGCTGATTACGGGAGGGGCGAAAACCCTTTTGGGAGAAAACACGGGGAAATTCCCATCCTGCTCCTTATTATCTTCTTATTATTATGGCAACCAAGTTTTTTAACTCCGTAGATCGGCACATATCTAGATTTGTATAATCAGAGAAGACAGCGGCAAATACACAAATAATTATTTGCAGAAATATTATTACTGACAGAACGTTTTACGTAGTTCAGATTGGTGTGGTCCAGTGTTATGGTGTCCGATTCATGGGTGAACCCTAACTGGGATCATTGTGTTTATGTTCTTGGGTAGTATACTTTACTACAATTGCCTCTCTCCACCTGAAACGTAAGCTTCAAAGCATGCATCCCCCAATTAGGTTGAAGGTACAATAATGGTATCATGTATAACGATGTTGGTAATAGGCTTTGAGAAATCGAATAAAAAAGGTAAATATGTTATTAAAGTTTGAACTGAACGTAAAAGTCGGAGTAGATTCGTTATAAAAATACGTTAAAAATACAACGCTATTTAGTAGGCTTATCAGATAATATAAAGGCAACCCTACCACCACTTCGACACGCCCACGTAAACAGAATGTGAAAATTCTGCCTCTTTACTCTGCAGGCTCATTCGTCGGTGGAGAAGGCGGCCAATATTTCCTTCGTCAAGAGACGCATTTTGCCGACCGACGATAAGTTTTCGCTCCGCGGAGAGACTCTGCGTGAAGCCGTGGAGGTATGTTATGGTTGGCAAGTTGAATGCAAGCAGCGACTGGTGTATGCCATTAAGCGTCCGTCACTACATACCAGAGTTGCTGACTCGAGTCATGTGACTTGGACTCGAGTCGGACTCGAGTCGCTATTATTGTGACTTGTGACTTGACTTGTAAATACCAGCTTTGACTTGTGACTTGACTTGGACTTCCAAACAATGACTTGTGACTTGACTTGGGATTGCAAAAAATGACTTGTTACCAACCCAAGTCAGACGCTACTCGAGCGACCCAATACACTTTAATTAAGCTATTATACTTTTAATAAGCTTTTTCATTCCAGAAAATAGACCTCAGTGACTGAATCCAGTAAAATGAATAGTTCCCACTAGTTTCAAAAGTTTTCAATAAGACTGTCACAACAAACTACAGTTTTCAATGACCACTTGTCTCTTGCTTAATGTATTGGTTGAACAAACTTTGAAAGGAACCTTTCATGAAAAGAAAGCAGGCCTTTGTCAATTGCATGTAAAATACCGGATAGCCTAACCCATTGGTAGGCGTTTAGTATACATGAAAATTGAACAATAAAGTGTTAGTATACTACATGTAATCGAGTGAGGAAATCTTTTTTTTTCACGGTCATCTCAACATTTATTTCTACAATGTAAAGTAAATTTATTAAAGTATACAAAGGTATACTTTTGTATGTGATAAACTACAAGAATAGTAATTGGAACACATTGAAAAAAGGGGAATTAAGGAGGCAAAATAACTCGTAAGTTGACGCCAGGTTCTTTTAGCTTATTACAGCTGGACAAAATAATGTGCAACTTGACGTGTTCTTGGACAAAGATACTTGTGACTTGACTTGTTTTTAGACCAAATGACTTGTGACTTGGCTTGTGACTGGACCTAATGACTTGTGACTTGACTTGTGACTGGACCTAATGACTTGTGACTTGACTTGGACTTGCAAACAATGACTTGTGACTTGACTTGGACTTGCAAAAAATGACTTGCTGCCACCTCTGCTACATACACCCGATGCCATGGGCGTCGCCAGGATGGGGCAGGGGGATGCTTGGCCTGCCCCTCCCCCCCCCCCCCGGAAAAGCCACACACACAAAAAGGAGGGGGGGGGAAGCGAGGTGCGAAGTCATATTCCTGTTATTTTAATGCACATTTAACAACATGGGCGTTCGCAGGAGTGCCAATGTGGATAGGGTGGGCAAATGTCCCCCCGCCCACCCTCGAAACAATTGAGAATATGATAAAGTACAAGGATGTTTGGAAAAAATGTTTAAAATAAGAATTTTAACACAACCACCGTTTTAAGGTTCTTTCGACGGATCACAAAAAAAGTTCAGCGTTCTTTCAGCAAAACGAAAACAAGTCACAAAGGGATGTGTTTGAATTGTTTTTGTTTAGCTAAAAGAACTCACACCTTTTTTCTGTGATCCGTGGACAGAACTTTAAAACGGTGGTTGTGCTTAAACTTGAAAAGTACATGATTGATTTGAAAAATTCTTGTACTAAAAGAAAACTTATGAATTGGGCTTTCATGTCCTAGATTTGGAAAGTGCTACATGCAGCACTTCAATTAAACAATAGTCCCGACATTTGGGTTTCGCTTTTTTTTTTACTCACCCCTGTTTAATGAAACCCTTCTCAAAACACGTGTCAGTCTAGGGCGCACTGACCAGCTGGTGGGTGCCGCGCGAGCCCGCTATAGTGACTAAACATCGGGACATTGCCAAATACAATTGGGCCGTGCAATTTCCCCAATATCAGAGAGAGAAAGGTTCAACCATAATAATAACACCATAGAGCTATATTAAATTACTATAGTCTATTTAAATGGAAACTGGTTTTTGTACGTCACGACAATCAGAGTCTAAATGACTGTCATTTTGTTTCATTTATCTTGCAGAAGGATATAGCAAGCGGAATGGTTCCGTTCTTTGTAAGTAAAAAATAAATCATTCAAAATGTTTTTCTTATCAGAAGCTGCTCCACCGACAGCCTCCCCTCAAGCCGTCTTCCATGCATTGCCGGCAAATGTGACATAATTTTCTTGTCCAAAACATAAGACTTTTTTTGGTGACTTGGGTTTTTCAGTGATTAATTGAGACTTGTTTGAGGCCACGCACGATTTCTTAATTGAAATTCAGGTTTGTGCGACCATGGGAACAACAGGCAGTGCAGCCGTGGACAACATTGAGGAGATCGGGCAAGTCTGCGCAGAGAAGGACCTATGGCTTCACGTGGACGGCGCGTACGCCGGTAACGCACTCATCTGCCCGGAGTACAGATATCTACTCAAAGGATTCCAGGTTATTTTTGACCCCGACTTTTCCTCCATTTTTAAAATTATACAGTCAAAGTGATTGTGGTTTTCTTGTCGTAGTCGTCCTCACGGTTTTAGACGTCCGTTGGAGATCGAGGCTTTATGAATGTAATGGCTGTCCATTTTTGGTCATCACACTAGTTTTATTGCATTTCCTTTTTGAAAGTCTTTGATAATTGTCATTTATCACAACTATGGTATATTCATAAATACTTAAGACAGTTTACCCATTCCTATTTGTCGAGAGCCCATCACGTGGCTGGTCTTAAACGGTTGATAAAACACCAGCTGGCTGGTCTTGTACACTATTTCAGTGTCACATAAATTTTGGACTCTGTGAAATCCGGTCCCTATAACCCTTTTATTGGTTGAACGTTCACAATCCTAACTTAGGCATGCGCAATACCACTACTAAGTCGATATTTCATAGTCCTTAATTCACACTACACCGGCAAAGCTGCGCCCTGCGCGTGAGAGGCACATACCATAACATAGGGGTGTTTCAAAAACACGATGTAAATTTGTTGAACAAAATTTTCGGGAATTTATACATTTGTTTTTATTTGTTTTGACGCGCCACGCACGCGCCGTTCTCCATATAAGGAGTTGTTTACGAATACTCGTGAGAGGCACACACCATAACACAGGGGTGTTTAAAAAAAAATGATGTAAATTTGTTGAACAAAATGTTCGGAAATTTATGCATTTGTTTTTACTTGTTTTGACTCTTTGACCGAAAAAGGTATTTAACAAGTCCGTTTAAGATCAGCTGGGGGCCTGGTTGCTAATAATATCCCTCGCCTTAGGCTCTGGCTATTATCAGTGTCCATTGCCCCAACCGGTCTTAAACGGTTTTAGACCGGCCAAGCACATAACCGTTTTGACGTAGTGACGCATCTGTGCACACAGATGCAAAACCGAGTTTGAGAAAATTGTGTTTGAAGTTGGTGGATTTTTCAATTTGCATTTTTGTGTACATTTCTCCACCAGAATTGAAAAATATATAACTGACACAATAGCCCAGGAGTTAAATAGCCAACAATAACTCTCTCTGTTCATCAAATTGTGTTTAATTAGCAGATATTAATTACTAAAGATATCCGTCACTTCGTCAAAACGGAAAATCTACTTCTTCACAAAAATGAGGCATATGTTTGTATACAGCGCGTGCGCGTATATATAATGTATATATTTTAGAACGCAGATGCGTCACTTCGTCAAAATGCAAATCGTGGAGGTTTCATATTTCTAAATATAGCACACGTGTAAAATCAATGAGACTAAAGTGACACATAGAGATTCGTCACTTCGTCATAACGAAAAACTTAGCGTGTAGCACTTTCAACACTTTGTGCAATTAGCGTAATTAACGAACGATGGAATGTTGTGGCTCGAAATTTGGTAATCGTGTAGAGGACACCATCAAATGTTAGAATATCCAAGCATCTCATATTTCAGACAATCTCGGTTTTGGACGGATGCGTCACTTCGTCAAAACGGTGACGAATTATTATTCCCTTAGTAGTGTTCCAAAGTTTGGACAAAAGGTACGAAAGGGAATGAAAGTGGGTTGGCAAAAGAAAGGGAGAACCCATCACAAGACACATATTGTTCATGTTAACCATGCATACTATTTTCCAGAATGTGATGTCATTCAACTACAACCCTATCAAGTGGATGCACGTCGGCCTGGACTGCTCGGTCATGTGGTAACAGTCCTTTTCTTCCCAATGTCTTTTAAAATAATGATCCGTCCATCAACAAATTATTGTTACGCTCAATTTCGTTGGGGTTTTTTTCAAAATGTTTCTCGATGATCACCAAAGAGTGACAAACAACTGCTGATTGATCCTTTTAACAACTTTCTTCCATGTGGGATGATTGTGTCGTCTCAGACATCTTAAGCTTTCACCTGTCTTAATCTACTATAAAATAACTCACTTTACCTGCCAATGACTGTCCAATCTAAACGACTTGTTGCACTATATCGCCGATACGACCCCATATGTTTCTTGGTGTCTTAGATCCTTTAAAAAGTAACCAGCAATTAAAAAGGGGGTTATAAAATACATCACCTTTAAAAACAAAATACCTTACCTTTCAAAACATCTATGCAAATACTCACTTCTCTTAACTGAAAATGAAAATATTGCAACACCCTTTGATATCTATGTGATTCTTTTTCTATCTACAATAATTTATGCCTTGTCGTGGTGCCTTCATGTGTTGTTGCTGCGGATAACACTATAGGTACTCAGCTCCGAGTCTGTAGGCCTATACCATTTATGAAGCTAAAATGTAGGCCCACATGCATGTAGTTGACCCAGTGACTGGCTGTCAAGATATATCAATCAACAAGTCGCACACAGAAACCCTGCGAATTGACCATAGCAACGATCCGAAAACTCTGAAAATGTTCACGGACGACTTGGAGGCCACCAAAATAGAGTACACAATCTAAACATACCCCTTACATTTACATTTCTCCAACAGTTTATGGAAATTCCTTAGAACATTACATGGAATTAAAATGTGCCTTCCGTTTTCTTCTTGAGGATTGCCCAGAAAAAAAGTTGTCTATAAACTAGCTGCCTCTTGTGTCTTGACCCAACATCATTGTTTTGCTCACCATTGTGAGATCGTACTACATAATATTCAAAGTACAACACTGTTAAAGAAGTGATTCCTTTCCATAGGAACCTTTAAAGGAATGTGGAATTATTGATTCATTTTTCAGGGTGAGGAACAAGTACTACTTAGTAGACGCACTCTCCATCAACCGCATCTACTACATGGAGGACGAACAAGAGAAACACTTGCTGGACTACCGGGTAAGTGCACAGAACCATCTCGAATAGAGCCTAACTATGGGTTATAGACAATGTGCTATGTGACGTCATGCCGATAGGCAACCGCCGGGCAACTTAGCTTACATGCGCACATGTATATATGTAATAATATCAGGCATTTAATAAGCGCTTTTACGCCGCAACGGGGTATCAAAGCGCTTTCCAATTATTATTTCCCCTGTTTTAACGGGCAAACACTCCTGAAACCTCCTCAGCTCCCTGGGGAGTATACAGCTCGATGCTGCCTGTTAAACGCAAGGACGCTAAATCATCCACAATAACCATCTCTTCTCTCACAGGTACACCCATTTACTCCTGGGTGGAGAGAAGCAATTAGTGACAAGGTGCCTTGCCCAAAGGCACACGCACCATGACCCCAGGCAGGACTCGAACCCACAACCTGCAGAATTGCCCGCAGACCACGAATCCGATGCCCTTAACCACGAGGCCACATCACTCCAGATTAAATATTTGGCCCATATTAAACAGTATTGTGTCAACACTTAAAAAATCATTCATATTTCCAGACATAATTTATACATGCAGTGCATAAGAGAACCGTTTGTTGAAAGTTGGCATCACGTGGCCACAACATCCAATTCTGTAAACGACTATCACATGGTTTATAGCTTCGGTTTCATTGTATTGCTCAAGCAGAAGCTGCCCAGCAGAAGCCTTGAAATAATCTCAACCAAATAGAAATCATATACACGTCGGCCCCAAATTTTGAGATTCAATGCTCCTGGAGCACAGCACGGACCTGAACCAAAGCTGAAACGAAACCAAGGTTTGAAAAACCTTTCCTGCCATGGGCAGGGGTGCATCTAGCTTTCAGGAAAGGTTGGGGGGTATTTTGAGTAAAGAGGTGCAGAAAGCACGCCTTGCTGTGGGGGGGGGCATGCCCCCAGTAAAATTTCGAAATCTACGATGCTTTCTCATGCATTCTAATTTGAGAATACATTTAGAAACTGTGAGCTTGCCATTTATTATGGTTGGCCCTATTTTACCATTTCCATAACTTTAGTCAGCAGCTGAACGGAACGGGGGGGGGGTGCAGCCTCCAACAACCTCGTCCTTACGACCAGCTACTGCTGGTTGTGAGATTAGTGTAATACGCGCCGTCTTACCGCCGGTTAATATTGCAAAATTTGGCTCAAGCGAGCTGAATTCAGTTTCGTTGACGATGCCATTTTTTTTCTGAAGTGCACTGAGTTGAATGTTTGAAATTTGAACAGAACTGGACCGTTCCCCTGAGCAGGCGATTCCGATCACTGAAACTGTGGTGCGTTATCAGAACGTATGGCGTGGAAGGACTGCAGGAGTACATACGATCGGTAATACATGTATTTTCGGTTGCACATTCTTCTCTATACTGTTTATGTTTCTCTTTGATTTTCTCTCTTAGGGAAATGATTTAAACAAGCCCTATATTAACTCAGGACTCTTGACAGATTTTGTGTTTGATTATTTTGGATGACAGCACGTGGCGTTGGCCAAGATGTTGGAGTCTTGGGTGCGTGCGGACGACAGGTTCGAGGTTGTCGGCACTGTGGAGTTCGGCCTGGTGTGCTTCAGGCTCAAGGTACGAGGATGATTTCTTTGTGCTGTATCAGTGGTGATTACTAGTCTGTAGGATAATTCGCCTGTCCTGGCGAACTCGATATAATAATGCGCTCTAAAAACATCCGGGTCTGATTGACCCGGATTCCGGGTGTGATTGACCCGTTTCCCGAGTGCTTTGTGGCTCAACCCCTTTCCGAGTCAAATATGACAAATTTCCCGTTCAAAATCCGGATTTTATTGGAGTGTATATCCCAAGTTCATCTAACTCTATCCAGGAGATCTCCACACATGTATTTAGATTTTCATTAGATTCAGATTAGACTTACTTAAAGTCTCAATGTAGCTATAATCGTATGCTAATAAAGAAACCTTCTTTGATTTGCTGCACTCTAAAACGTCCGAGTTAGGTTTGACCCACCCGGTATGAGGGATCTATTTAGCCTAATACTTTTCAGGGTCCAAAATAACACTTTTCTGAGCTCAAATGACCCAGATAATTAGTCATTGCAGTATCATTTTGACCCGGAAAAGTGTCATTTCGACCCGGAAAAGTGTCATTTTGACCCGGGAAAAGTGTCATTTCGACCCGTAAAAGTGGCATTTTGAACTGGAAAAGTGTCATTAGGACCCGGAAAAGTGTCAGGCAAAATAGAACCCGCATTCCGGGTCAAATCTGACCCTGGACGTTTTAGAGTGTGTCGTTGTTTACACCCAATGAGTTGGATGTGGATAATCGAGCTGTTAAACTCACGATTAAATCGTTTAAAGAAGTTTAAAGAACAATAGTTTTGCATAGTTGAGAGTCAATAGGTATGGTGTCTGAGTATAACACCATGTAATGACCTGATGTCCTGTGGCTTCCACAGGGGGAGAACAACTTGACGGAATTCCTCCTCCAACGAATCAACCAGTCCGGCAAGGCCCACATGGTTCCCGCCTCCCTCAAAGGGAAATACGTCATCCGTTTCACCCCCGCAAACTGGTACTACTCCGAGGAGTTCACCAAGAAAACCTGGGACATCATTACCGACTTCGCCGAGGTGGTGCTCCGAAAACACCGAGAAGCCACCCAGCGTTTCCAGAAGCTGCTGGCCAAGTACAAGGACCACGCCCGGGCCAGGCACGAGTCCGCCTCCGGCGGGGACGTCTTCGAGGAAGAGGAGGATCATTCTTGGAACGGGGTCCTCCGCAAGTTGGGGTACCGAACCAAGCTCTCTGACTCCTGCGGGGCACCGGCTAGGCGACAGTCTTCCCTTGAAGAAGTCCCGGAAGATTCTACTCTGGATGATGTTCAACAGAATGAAGCAGGATCTTCAAGTTATCGTATAAAGCGGGCCCTCAGAAGTGAGAGTTCCTTCCGGTCACTGAGCCTTTATGGCGACGAGTCGACCAGGCCGGTCAAGCAACCCAGCGAAACGCTCTTTTCGTAGATTTTTTTCGGGGTTGTTGTTGACAAATTACCCGATTAGCTACTCCCTTTTTCTAGCATGAGTGTCATATTAATCATACAACGTAAAGTTTTCTAGGTGTTGGACATACTTCTTTCTAGTGTTATACATCAATAACGATAAAACAGTAATATTACTTTTATAACGATTAATGTTTTTGCGTATTGCACTCGTTCTTTATTATGTGATTTTTTTTTATTGGTTGGTACGAACTTATAAGTATGTGTCGCTACATGCGAATGCGACTCCAGCTGCTTCAACTGCTATCGGTACAAATATGTTTTAATTTGATCACTGATTGAAACCTAAGCAAGCTCGTGTTATTCATAAGATAACATTTACGTCGGCGTGATGTATATTCAATATTGGGTTTTTGGCCTTGTGTATACTCAGTGTTGCCCCCGAGTAGTTGTGAGAATAAAGTCACTTGGGTGGGACTCGAACCCACGACCTCCTGCTTACTAGCGCAGACGTCTAACCACTCGACCACCGAGCTTGCCGGGGTTGGCTGGCTGGTTGGAATCAGATATAGCAGTGGGTACCGCAATGAAACTTTTCATACCATGGAATTTGCGTCGGGGTGATGTACATGTACGTTAAAGGGATAAGTGTTGTACTTTTATGCGTGATAACATCGCATTAATTTAACATATATAGTAGATGTCATCTAATAATTGTTATTACCTCCGCAAGGAGGTTATGTTTTCATCTGATTCGGTTACTAGTTTGTTGGTTGTTTGGTTGTTTGGTTGGTTGGTTGATCTGTCTGTAAAAAATAATATACTCAGAAAGTTATGGACGGATTTGCATGAAAAAAAGGTAGGGGTGGTCCTTGGTACAAATACAAATTGATTAGATTTTGGAAGTGATCCGGACCTGGGTCTGGACCCAGGATTTGTTATTATTAATTCTTCACCATTTATGCGAGTATTTCTCTTGGGTGTACTGACAATATATGGCGGGGAACTGTTTAGCCTTGGCGGAGGTTTGCGCTATCTGAGAGCTTTCTATAGTTTCCTTATATAAAGACTAGTGTATTCATACCGTATGCGTTGCCGCATCTCAGAGGGTGTTCTTAAATGTGTTATTTTATTTTGGTAACAATGAATGACGAGAAATGCTTACTCACGCCTAGGTGATAGAAAAGCATTGCCCTCTGCCCAGCTGAAGTTTAAGAATTGTTTAATATTCTAATCACAGATATGTGATAAGATCAAGCTAAATGAGTCGTTGGTCGGGAATTTTTGGAGATTGAGGCCGAAATAGGACCACTTCATCACATTACTTCATCTCATTTCTTGGTGTTCCGACTTCCATAATTGTTGAACTAAAGATGCTATCAGCATGCGGTTTTCACATCAGTAATGCTGAGATTGTGTTCTTTTCAAATCTGTAAAAAAAAATTGCCCAGGGTAGACCAACGACTCAGTTAGCTTGACTGCATCACATATTTTGTTTAAATTGCTTATTAAAACCCTCCTATGCAAAACATTCTGTACAAAGTTGTCCTTTCAGTCAATATCAATCAAGTGCACTGTTTTCAACAGTTAAGAGCTCCCAGCATACATAATGCAGGATTGACTGGCTGTGACTGTTTATGTAACTTGTTACAGCTATGCTTTGCCTGTAAGTGATTGATAAGCCAGCTGTGCCTACTTCTTGACTGGTTTTGTCGGTTGACAGAATTTGACTAGTCCCAGTGCTTGCTTGAAATATGATCTGAATGTTGGTGGCTAGCCTGTGTTAAAATGCAGGGCAGGGGAAGAGGATTGATTTGTTGGCTTTCTGTGACTGATCGAATAGCAGGAGGGTTGTATTGAAAGTCAAAGACGTATACATTACATTCAAACCAGAAGTCATTGTACACTCTAAAAACAACTTAGTCAAAGTATTGACAGGTTTCCCTAGTTATTGAAAATTGACTAGGAATTTAGTTAGGCATGCAAAGTTTCATACTATGACTAGAAAAAGTAGTTGGGTGGGACTCCAATTTCAGTTATTTTTAATTACTATTTTTCCAAAGTCAATAATACTGACTTGACAAATCTAGTCATATTGACTGATTTTCAGTTGCACCCAGCTGACCCTGAATGGCAAGTCAAATTTAATTGGTTTCTATATAGTCAAATCTGACTAATGCTTTTTTTAGAGTATGCCTATTTTGCGCTTGCCTGTGTATTGTTCTGTTCATTACAAATTAGTCAAGCATGCTGCAAACTGCTCACTCACTGGATTGACCTGCAATATACAAATTAAAAAAATTATAGAGGGCCTGATGTTTCGATCTTAGCAATATCTGATTCAGAGGCAAATGGCAGTGGTACAGGAAACATGTGTAGGTGACTGACATTTATGCTGCGTTGGAAGGAGAAACACAAACGAGGGATTAAATAGGGGACATGCCATTGTGGGTGAACATCAAAGGAGATGGAGTAAAAGAAGTAACAAAGGAGTGTGATGGCGCACCAAATAAGGAACAAAAAGAAGGGGTGATGAGGAAGAGAGGGGGTAGGGAGGAAGGGATGGAGTATGGCAATGCATAAGTGTGAATAGGGGGTGAAGAGGTGATAGGAAGGGGGACAGATGGATGCGGCAAAATGGTAAAGTAGAAAAGGGAGGACGACAGAGGAGAAAATAAACCCATATATATATATATATTTATACAACACCTGAATTAATCCCCGTCATCTGATTGGTGGATCGTTGATCACATGTCATTGAATTATTCGTCCAACGCACGGCGCGCACGCGGCGCACAGCGCAATGGAAGTTCTAATGCACGGTGAATGGAACTTCCATTACACGGTTTCAGTGCTGCCGGTGGTGGCGCTGTGACACGAATCTATTTCACAAAATGCGGACGTTACGCGAGACTGGCACTGTTTGTTCTTCTGATCTTGAGATGAAATATTAGAACTTGTAGGTCGGCTGCTAACACAAAGAAGCAACTAAAATATTCTGCCAAACGATTAGAAAAGTTGGCAAGACATACAGATCCATCTGTTGAAGCTTTAGACTGATTCACAACTGAAGAACTTCTTGTCGTGATTTTACTCAGGACTGAGAAGAAAAAACGCGGCACACTATATCAGGTGATGAGGATTTATTCAGGTGTTGTATAAAACAAATAATGAATGTTTCACATGCGTGCAGTGGCAAGAATAATTTCATTCGGTGACAGATGAAATGTTCCATTTTCGCCTCGTGGAATGGAACATTTCATCTGTCACCGAATGAAATTATTCTTACCATTGCATTCATAAACATTCATTATTTGTATAATATTAGATCAGAAGGAAGGGAGGGGATGGTTCCTATCCTTTCTCCAAATACTCGCAAGAGAGAATTTCTCATTTGATGTAATCGCAATTCTTCCAATTGAAGTTCCTCAATCATGTAGGCTATACATGTTCAAAGTCTGAAATCTCAAAAGCTATAGTTTTTTTTGTTACTCATAATTCGTTCTATGACATACGGTCTTTTGTTTAACATCTAAACTTTAGGTACAGTCATTCTGTTTACCAAGGACAAACGAGCCATAGAGATGATCTAGCAACTAGAGGAAAGAGTTAACCATGTTTTGATCAGAGGGACCATCCTCCATCCGCCTTCGGAAAAAAACCCAAAGAAATATCTCACGTTGTTCGAAACTAACGTTGCGGTTCTTTTCAGAGCAGCACAAACTCCGCGGCAAAAGGAATGAAATTTACGTCACGGCAAACTCCCAACATACAGCTCATCCATCATGTAAAATAATGTTCTAAGTCTGAAGCTTATTTATTTATTTTTTTCCCCTGGAATTGACTTACGGTCTCTAGACTTGTCTACAGCCCGACGCATACGAGAGCTATACCTGCTGAGCAAAAAAGTCATTCGAGGCCGTTTGCTGAGCACGTATGATAATAGCTCACAAAATATCCCCCGAGTGCGGTAAATTTTTGCTGTAGTCCGGGTGTGTCAAATCCCATTTTGGAGGTGAACCGTGAATTAGGACCTTGTATGCTCCAGCACGCTAGGTGTGCGGCGGAACCTTGGGCATACTTAACGTCACTGTTTAAATACACACAGCATTGTGTTATAAAAAGGGTTTGACTGCTGCGTGTTTACATGCATTTATTCTGAAGTTGGGGTGGTACCGGATGACATGATCCAAAACGCAAACTTTCGCTTACCGTACCAGCTGCATCCATGAATATCCGTCGAGGCACGGCCCTATTGAAATAAAGACTGTGCGCGTCGCTTACTTGTACATTCTGTCCAAAAAACTCTCTGCGTGCCTTCCACCTCGTGTTCTGTCTCCTATATTATCGTGATCATTTTGTTATACTCGGTTGCAACTCGGGCCCGGCATGATGGCAGGGAAATCGACGTTGATGTTCTGTTGCACCCTGGTTTTGATGGCAGTCCTCGTAGCTGAGGGTTGTCGTCAGGGAGAGGGGATCAGCAAGCCGACACGGAAAGAAACATGGCCAGAACTCGTTGGCCAGGTAAACTTAATTATGTCCTCCTTTAGGCATTTGATTCTGCATAATATGTACTATATTATGTACTTATATTCTCTTCGTGTCTCTATAACGGCACAAACTTCACTAACAGTGTAATGCTGATAATTTTGCTGGTGCAGTGTACGTGTGGCCGGGAATCCCGGCTCTGTCCGTATATATGATTCTTTTCTGTACATGGCTCACTGAGTAAAAAAAGCTTCCATCTTTACTATCTCTTCCACATGAAGTCACGCAAGCTAATTCACAACACTGAATGTCTCAGTTTGTGTTGGTTTTTTCTTTGCTTGGACAGACAGGAGAGGAGGCCAAGGCGGTCATTGAGAGAGAGGACCCAACTCTGGAGGTAAGACGATTTTCGCTTTTCTTTTTGAAGAATAATGACCCAATCTTGAACTTGAATACTGTTATCAAAGTTCAATCCTGGAAAGCACAATGCTATACCGAGGGAGTTTACGCAGGTATACACGTCAAAGGGGAAGACGAAAACGCTGGAGCTGTCGATTCAGAGATTTCATTCTTTGATGAGAATTGGGATAAAGTACCTTGCCCGTGGACACGAGCATCATCGTTGCGTATTTCATACCGTAATCTGTCATTTTCTAATGTCACTTCATTCCTGTGGTTTTGTTGCCGATTCCAGGTGGAGATTGTCCCGTACGGCTACGCCGTCACTGCTGATTACCGTACCGATCGGGTTCGAATCTATCTGGATGCTGAAGGAAGAGTCGCCACACCTCCCACGATTGGCTGATTTTGAGTGGAAGAAAAAGTACAACCTATCACCCATCGCTACTTCATAGCCGTTTTCATTTTTACTTTTTCAAAGTTTCGTTCCATTCTTATGTATTAGTTTAACCCTCCTACTGTTTGAAGAGTCACAGACAGTCAAAAATTCCATCCACTTCCCCTGCCTTGCCTTTTACACAGGCTAGTCGGTCACCAATTACAGTCAGATCATATTTAAAGCAAACACTGTGACTAGTCAAATTCAGTCAACAGAAGCAGGCAACTTGGTAGGCACAGCTGTCTTATCAATGACCTATAAGTCAAAGCATATAGCCGTATCAAGTTACATAAACAGTCACAGCCAGTCAATCCTGCTTTACGTAAGCAGTGAGCACTTAACTGATAAAAACAGTCACTTGACTGATTTTGACTAAAAGGACAACTTTACACAGAATGTGTTTGCATAGGAGGCATGGGGGTTAGTGTAATTAGAAAATTAGAAAAGATTTTTTTCAGAACAAATGTGTTACTTTCTGTGTTTAAATATTCATATTCACATACCCATTGTCTTGAGTGAGTAAAAGCTACGTCGATTGTAAGATGATTTGCTTTAATAGTAAATTGCTATAATGCCTATCACAACAGTGATGTGTTCTCCAATGGTATTGTAACGTCTCTCTGGGTTGAGAGACATTATCAAATAAAGAGTCAGATACAAGTATCTTACACACACACACTAGTACTTTATTCGAGATTATTTACATCTCAGGTCAATAGAGGGCGCACTATATACAATGTAAAGTTACGGCGTACATGATTATCTGTGTACAGACGTAGGGTCTATGGCCAGTGAGCGGGCAGCTCGATAATCTACGTGTACATGTCAGGGACTCTGTCGGGGTCAGAGCCCAGATCAACAATGACCAGAACTGCCATTTCTGCGCGCTTTATATAGACTTTTGGGGGCGCGTCTTAGCCAATGGGAGCATTGGATTCTGGTGGTTATGAATAATGCATACGTGTACAAAGGCATGGGGAAAGTTCTCTATGGGAGATTTGTACACGCTGACTTAGACATTCTAGTGGAAGAAAGTCCGAGAGCAGTGGTTAGCGGGCGAAGTAGGATCACTCGTGGGTGCGTTACGGGGAACTGATCCTCAAGGAAAAGGGAAAGGGAATAACTTCTCGGTACATAGGTTTGTGTACAAGACTTAGTCTCTAGACTAGGTAAGAATCTACACACTAATGCTATGGAGTAAAACTATGAGATGAAGGACGTAACCTGACCTCTAGCTACCGTAGGTCTCGGCCAGTGGGTTAGCGGGACACACTCGCTGGGGTGTACGGGGTCACTAAGGGGTGAATACACGGGTAGGTTTTAGCGAGCCACATTCGCTAAATGCTTCGGGTCAATGTGGGTCAGATGCGAGGTAAGGTGTGTGAGGGGAATTCGCATCGACTCCGGGGAAAGGTGGAGGGAAAATGGCTTAAGTCCTAAGTACATGTCCCATGGCGGTACATGTTCAATAGCAGTGAGTGCTACATGCATTGCGCGCTATACAATAGCGTACTGTACAATGTGCTGCACACTTAAACGTGTGTCTAAGACTTCGTGGTAAACTTCGCGCTGTGTGAGGGCACACAGGATCGCTGCAAGCATTACGCTGTGCACGGAGTGGAATGGATTGGTGTGGAAAGAAGTAAACTACGCAATTTGCGGGAACGCAACAGTATATTTAAAAAAAATTCAGCTGTGAAGATACAATTGTCCAAAAGTGCACAACCAGCGATCACATAGGATACACAGGCGTTAAGTTAATTAAATATACCATACGTACGGTATCTTGTTTAACATCGGAACTTTGGGGAAGTCAAGTGCCGCTGTATCAATATACACATTTTATTTTATTTTTTATTGCTTTCTGGTAATGAAACCAAGGATTCCTCAAAAGTGCCCTAAGCACTGTAGCTCGAAAGCCTGAAGAAGCCTGTAGAGAGAAGACAATGAGAAGAAATTACAGTTTTAGAGGTGGGAGGAAAAGCCCAGATGAATATTCTGAGGAAAACCCACGGAATCAGGTAGGGACTGAAAACCCAATCCACATATTGGCCCCGGCGGGATTCGAACCTGGGTCACAGCGGTGGATGGCGAGGAAAGTACCGCTACGCCAACCCTGACTCCCCTTTTCTGTTGACAAAGGAAAAACGTGCCTTGCAGATGATCCAGGATTTTTTCTAGATGAATTTTTGTTTAAGATATATAAATAACCATGTTTTGACCAGGAGGACCACCCTCTATCAACTCTTGGAAAGAAAACCAATGAAATATATCTGAGGAACAGAACACGTTGTTCGAAACGTCGACTAAGCGCCGCAGGTCATATCCAGATATGCACAAACTTGCACGGTGCATGTAACCGCAAATCTTCCAACTTAAGTTTCTCCACCACGTAAAGGTCCAAAGTCTTGAAATCTAAAAGGCTTTTTAAAATATTTTTGGCCCACATACTAATTCAACGACGTACGGTCTCTTGGCTAAAACATCTGAACTTTGCGGTAGTCAAGTGCCGCTGTTTCAATTTAAACAACATTCTGTTGACAAAGGAAAAACGTGCCTTGGTGATGATCCAGGATCTTCTTCTTGAGGAAAAAGGGTTTTTAAGTTATGCATGAAATAACAATGTTTTGATCAGAAGGGCTATCCTCCATCCGCCTTTGAAAGAAAACCAATGAAACATCTCCTGAAGACCAGAACACGTTGTTGATGTTCGAAACGTCGACTAAACACTGCAGTGGGCTTTTTTCGGGGCAAAAGAGGGAATTTCCCATGTGCCGTCATGGCACTCTCCCAACATACGTTCATCCATCATGCCAAATAATGTTCAATGATTTACGGTTTCTTGTCTAATCGGGTTCGAATCCATCTCGATGCCGAAGGAAGAGTCGCCAAACCACCGATGATTGGCTGATTTGGGGAGGAAGAATTCCAACCTCTCACTCATCACTTCAAATCCGTTTTCATCTTTTTTCCCCGAAGATTAAATCAAACCTTATGTATGTATTAGTTTAACCTCATACTGTTTGAAGAGTCACAGACAGTCAAAAATTTCATCCAGTTCCCCTGCCGTGCCTTTATACACAGGCTAGCCACACCAACAGTCAGATCATAATTATTCGAAGCAAGCACTGTACTAGTCAAATTCAGTCAACAGATAAAACAGGCAACTGGTAGGCACAACTGGCTTATAAATCACCCACAGTCAAAGCATAGCTGTGTCAAGTTACATAAACAGTCACTCACAGTCAAATTTCCCGCACCAATTTTCCCGACGTGTTTCGTCTCTTCCGAATTATCGCATTACGTATACACAGGGATCACTAATAACCGTTAAAAACAGTCACTTGACTTATTTTGACTGAAAGGACAACTTTTCCTAATTATATAGGAAAAGCTCTCTTTTTTCGGAACAAATGTGTTACTTTCTGTGTTTTAATATTCATATTCACATACCAATTGTCATGAGTGAGTAAAAGCTACGTCGATTGTAAGATGATTTGCTTTAATAGTAAATGGCTATACTGCCTATCACAACAGTGATGTGTTCTCCAATGGTATATTAATTTTTTTTCAGCTGTGAAGATATAATTGTCCAAAAGTGCAAAACCAGCGATCACATAGGACACACAGGCGTAAAGTTAATTAAATATACCATACGTACGGTATCTTGTTTAACATCGGAACTTTGGGGAAGTCAAGTGCCGCTGTATCAATATACACATTTTATTTTATTATTTATTTCTTTCTGGTAATGAAACCAAGGATTCCTCAAAAGTGCCCTAAGCACTGTAGCTCGAAAGCCTGAAGAAGCCTGTAGGGAGAAGACAACGAGAAGAAATTACAATTTTAGAGGTGGCAGGAAAAGCCCAGATGAATATTCTGAGGAAAATCCACGGAATCAGGTAGGGACTGAAAACCCAATCCACATATTGGCCCGGACGGGATTCGAACCTGGGTCACAGCGGTGGATGGCGAGGAAAGTACCGCTACGCCAACCCTGACTCCCCTTTTCTGTTGACAAAGGAAAAACGTGCCTTGGAGATGTCAAATCCAGGATTTTTTCTAGATGAATTTTTGTTTAAGATATATAAATAACCATGTTTTGACCAGGAGGACCACCTTCTATCAACTCTTGGAAAGAAAATCAATGAAATACATCTGAGGAACAGAACACGTTGTTTGAAACGTCGACTAAGCGCCGCAGGTCATATCCAGATATGCACAAACTTGCACGGTGCATGTAACCGCAAATCTTCCAACTTAAGTTTCTCCACCACGTAAAGGTCCAAAGTCTTGAAATCTAAAAGGCTTTTAAAAATATGTTTGGCCCATATACTCATTCAACGACGTACGGTCTCTTGGCTAAATCATCTGAACTTTGCGGTAGTCAAGTACCGCTGTTTCAATATAAACAACATGATGATGACAAAGGAAAAACGTGCCTTGAAAATGATCCAGGATTTTCTTGAGGAAAAAGCGTGTTTAAGTTATGCATGAAATATCAATGTTTTGATCAGAATGGCTATCCTCCATCCGCCTTTGAAAGAAAACCAATGAAACATCTCCTGAAGACCAGAACACGTTGTTGATGTTCGAAACGTCGACTTAACACTGCAGTGGGCTTTTTTCGGGGCAAAAGAGGGAATTTCCCATGTGCCGTCATGGCACTCTCCCAACATACGTTCATCCATCATGCCAAATAATGTTCAATGATTTACGGTTTCTTGTCTAATCGGGTTCGAATCTATCTCGATGCCGAAGGAAGAGTCGCCAAACCACCGATGATTGGCTGATTTGGGGAGGAAGAATTCCAACCTCTCACTCATCACTACAAAGCCGTTTTCATCTTTTTTTTCCCCGAAGATTATATCAAACCATATGTATGTATCAGTTTAACATCATACTGTTTGAAGAGTCACAGACAGTCAAAAACTTCATCCAGTTCCCCTGCCATGCCTTTATACACAGGCTAGCCACCACCAACAGTCAGATCATAATTATTCGAAGCAAGCACTGTACTAGTCAAATTTAGTCAACAGAAAAAACAGGCAACTGGTAGGCACAAATGACTTATAAATCACCCAAAGTCAAAGCATAGCTGCGTCAAGTTACATAAACAGTCACTCACAGTCAAATTTCCCGCACGAATTTTCCCGACGCGTTTCGTCTCTTCCGAACAGTCGCATTACGTATAGACAGGGAGCACTAATAACCGTTAAACAACAGTCACTTGACCTATTTTGACTGAAAGGACAACTTTTCCTAATTATAAAGGAAAAGCTCTCTTTTTTCGGAACAAATGTGTTACTTTCTGTGTTTTAATATTCATATTCACATAATACCAATTGTCATGAGTGAGTAAAAGCTACGTCGATTGTAAGATGATTTGCTTTAATAGTAAATGACTATACTGCCTATCACAACAGTGATGTGTTCTCCAATGGTATATTAATTTTATTCAGCTGTGAAGATACAATTGTCCAAAAGTGAACAACCAGCGATCACATAGTATACACAGGCGTAAAGTTCATTAAATATACCATACGTACGGTATCTTGTTTAACATCTGAACTTTGGGGAAGTCAAGTGCCGGTGTATCAATATACACATTTTATTTTATTTTTTATTTCTTTCTGGTAATGAAACCAAGGATTCCTCAAAAGTGCCCTAAGCACTGTAGCTCGAAAGCCTGAAGCAGCCTGTGGAGAGAAGACAATGAGAAGAAATTACAGTTTTAGAGGTGGGAGGAAAAGCCCAGATGAATATTCTGAGGAAAACCCACGGAATCAGGTAGGGACTGAAAACCCAATCCACATATTAGCCCCTGCGGGTTTCGAACCCGGGTCACAGCGGTGGATGGCGAGGAAAGTACCGCTACGCCAACCCTGACTCCCCTTTTCTGTTGACAAAGGAAAAACGTGCCTAGCAGATGATCCAGGATTTTTTCTAGATGAATTTTTGTTTAAGATATATAAATAACCATGTTTTGACCAGGAGGACCACCCTCTATCAACTCTTGGAAAGAAAACCAATGAAATATATCTGAGGAACAGAACACGTTGTTCGAAACGTCGACTAAGCGCCCCAGGTCATATCCAGATATGCACAAACTTGCACGGTGCATGTAACCGCAAATCTTCCAACTTAAGTTTCTCCACCATGTAAAGGTCCAAAGTCTTGAAATCTAAAAGGCTTTTTAAAATATGTTTTGGCCCATACACTCATTCAACGACATACGGTCTCTAGGCTAACATTTGAACTTTGCGGTAGTCGAGTGCCGCTGATTCAACATAAACAATATTCGGTTGACAAAGGAAAAACGTGCCTTGGAGATGATCCAGGATTTTCTTCTTGAGGAAAAAGGGTTTTTAAGTTATGCATGAAATAACAATGTTTTGATCAGAAGGGCTATCCTCCATCCGCCTTTGAAAGAAAAACAATGAAACCTCTCCTGAAGACCAGAACACGTTGTTGATGTTCGAAACGTCGACTAAACACTGCAGTGGGCTTTTTTCGGGGCAAAAGAGGGAATTTCCCATGTGCCGTCATGGCACTCTCCCAACATTAGTTCATCCATCATCTTGTCTAACAGCTGAACTTTGGGCAGACTTAATGCTGTTGTATAAATATACACGGCATTGTCTTGTTGAAAAGTGGTGACTATAGTGTTTATTATTCTGAATGTTGGGGTGGTACGGGGTGAACTTTCGCTTGCCAGCTGCATCCATACCCATTGAGGCTTGCACAACCGAGTGACATAAAGACCGTGCGCATCGCTCACCTGCATACATTCTGTCCAAAACCTCTCTGCCTTCCACCTCGTGTTTTTTCTCCTTCATTTTTCGTGATCAATTTTGACTCGGTTGCAACTTGGGCCCGGCATGATGGCAGGGAAATCGACGTTGATGTTCTGCTGCACCCTGGTTTTGCTGGCAGTTCTCGTGGCTGAGGGTTGTCGTCAGGAAGGGGGGATCAGCAAGCGGTCACGGAAAGAAAGATGGCCAGAACTCGTTGGCCAGGTAAACTTAATTATGTCCTCCTATAATAGGTATTTGATTCTGCATAATATAGTTACATTCTCTTCGTGTCTCTATGACGGCACAGACCTCACTAACAGTGTATTCAAGGGGCCATTCAGAATTTTCAATGTTTTAAAATTTCGATCTTTTTTCCAAATTATTTTGACCCACCCACCCACCCCTAATTTCGATTAATAAAAAACTGAACATGTACATCATGTAGGCCTACATGCACTTGCATGTACAGTGTAGGCATACATATACTTAAAAATGTACATGTATACCCATGTACATGTATACATGTGTACCCATGTACTTGTGTGTCTAGTTCAGTGACGGCGTGAAGTTATCGGTCTCCCTCTTTTGCTGTGGTGGCCTTCAGTTTTCTTGTGTTTTGCCAGCTGATATGCTGTTGGGAAAGACAGGTTGCAGTCTTGAAAGCCACTAAGATGACCGTGGTTTTGTCATTTTCTGGATTAGCCCCATAAATGTGGCAAATTTCCTGGACTGCCTCCGTAAATAAAGGTTACACTGCCACCATGTACAAAAACATGTCGAACTTTGTCAAATTTTGATTTTCACATTTAGGCTCATAGTTTGTAGTTTATTTTTGCTTTAGAAGCATACTTACCCTCTTTTTAGGCTAATAAGAAAGTGCTGCCTTTTCAGGTGTCTATTTTTCGTGAAATTTCCAGATTCGTTTGCACACGTTTGCGTATCAAAATTTCAACATGAAATTTTTCGAAAAATAGACATCTGAAAAAGGCAGCACTCTCTCATTAGCCTATAAAGGGGGTGAGTATGTTTCTAAAGCAAAAATAAACTACAAACTAAGCCTAAATGTGAAAATCAAAATTTGACAAAGTTCGACATGTTTTTGTAGATGCGTGGTGGCTGTGTGGCCTTTATTTACGGAGGCAGTCCAGTAAATTGGCCACATTTATGGGGCTATTTCTGGATGAGGTGGATGACATGTGACATTCGAGGTTGTGCCTGTCACGTGAGGTAGCTGAGAAAAACATTCCCTCGTACCCCCCGCCCAAATTGCAGGGCGGGGGTACGAGCGAAAGAAAAACATCAGGTTTGGGCATTCATCACATCAGAGGCTGCGGTCCTCGTAGTCTTGGAGTCCAGTGGTTGAATAGTCCAGTTTTTATAGCGATTGGTAATCGACACCCGCGGCGTGTTATAGAGCCGATCTAGTACACCTGGTACCCTGCTGCCTCTGCACAGCCTAACCGCTAGAAACGCCCGGCATCCAAGTCTACTGAAAAACCACCTCCCTCTCATGCCACAGTGGGTCTATACACGTACATGACGTACATGTACAGTACATGCAGGGGACCAAATTGGAAAAGAAACACGCATCGCGATATCGGAACGCTTGCGCGTTGTTCAGGCAAGTCAAAAGATCAATCTTTCTTTGTTGTTTTTTTAATCTTTTTTTCCATGGAAACTGAATTTCGATTTTCAATTATTTAGCTTGACCCACCCACCCACAATTTGGAAAAAAGATCGAAATTTTAAAACATTGAAAATTCTGAATGGCCCGTAATGCTGATAACTTTGCTGTTGCAGTGTACGTGGGGCCGGGAATCCCGGCTCTGTCCGTTTATATGATTCTTTTCTGTACATGTCTCACTGAGTAAAAAAAGCTTCCATCTTTACTATCTCTTCCACATGAAGTCACGCAAGCTAATTCACAACACTGAATGTCTCAGTTTGTGTTGGTTTTTTCTTTGCTTGGACAGACAGGACAGAGGGCCAAGACGGTCATTGAGAGAGAGGACCCAACTCTGCAGGTAAAACGATTTTCGCTTCTTTTTGAAGAATAATGACCCAATCTTGAAGTTGAATACTGTTATCAAAGTTCATTCCCGGAAAGCTTATTGCTATACCGAGGGAGTATAAATTATATGCAGGTATCCGCTTGTTAAAGGGAAGACAAAAACGCTTGGAGATGTCGAAGTAGAGATTTCATTCTTTGATGAGAATTGGGATAAAGTACCTTGCCCATGGACACGAGCATCATCGTTGCGTATTTCATACCGTAATCTCCTGTCATTTTCTAATGTCACTTCATTCCTGTGTTTTTGTTGCCGATTCCAGGTGGAGATTGTCCCGTACGGCCAGGTCGTCACTGCTGATTACAATACCAATCGGGTTCGAATCTTTCTCGATCGTGAAAGAAGAGTCGCCGCACCTCCCACGATTGGCTGATTTGGGGAGGAAGAATTCCAACCTCTCACTCATCACTATAAAGCCGTTTTCATCTTTTTTCCCCAAAGATTATATCAAACCTTATGTATGTATTAGTTTAACCTCATACTGTTTGAAAAGTCACAGACAGTCAAAAACTTCATCCAGTTCCCCTGCCATGCCTTTATACACAGGCTAGCCACACCAACAGTCAGATCATAATTATTCGAAGCAAGCACTGTACTAGTCAAATTCAGTCAACAGATAAAGCAGGCAACTGGTAGGCACAACTGGCTTATAAATCACACACAGTCAAAGCATAGCTGTGTCAAGTTACATAAACTATCTCTCACAGTCAAATTTCCGCACGAATTTTCCCGACGCGTTTCGTCGCTTCCGAACAATCGCATTACGTATAGACAGGGAGCACTAATAACCGTTAAAAACAGTCACTTGACTTATTTTCACTGAAAGGACAACTTTTCATAATTATATAGGAAAAGCTCTCTTTTTTCGGAACAAATGTGTTACTTTCTGTGTTTTAATATTCATATTCACATACCCATTGTCATGAGTGAGTAAAAGCTACGTCGATTGTAAGATGATTTGTTTGAATAGTAAATTGCTATAATGCCTATCACAACAGTGATGTGTTCTCCAATGGTATTAATTTTTTTTCAGCTGTGAAGATACAATTGTCCAAAAGTGCACAACCAGCGATCACATAGGATACACAGGCGTAAAGTTAATTAAAAAATACCATACGTACGGTATCTTGTTTAACATCTGAACTTTGGGGAAGTCAAGTGCCGCTGTATCATTATACACATTTTATTTTATTTTTTATTTCTTTCTGGTAATGAAACCAAGGATTCCTCAAAAGTGCCCTAAGCACTGTAGCTCGAAAGCATGAAGAAGCCTGTTGAAAGAAGACAATGAGAAGAAATTACAGTTTTAGAGGTGGGAGGAAAAGCCCAGATGAATATTCTGAGGAAAATCCACGGAATCAGGTAGGGACTGAAAACCCAATCCACATATTGGCCCCGGCGGGTTTCGAACCCGGGTCACAGCGGTGGATGGCGAGGAAAGTACCGCTACGCCAACCCTGACTCCCCTTTTCTGTTGACAAAGGAAAAACGTGCCTAGCAGATGATCCAGGATTTTTTCTAGATGAATTTTTGTTTAAGATATATAAATAACCATGTTTTGACCAGGAGGACCACCCTCTATCAACTCTTGGAAAGAAAACCAATGAAATATATCTGAGGAACAGAACACGTTGTTCGAAACGTCGACTAAGCGCCGCAGGACATATCCAGATATGCACAAACTTGCACGGTGAATGTAACCGCAAATCTTCCAACTTAAGTTTCTCCACCATGTAAAGGTCCAAAGTCTTGAAATCTAAAAGGCTTTTTAAAATATTTGTTGGCCCATACACTCATTCAACGACGTACGGTCTCTTGGCTAAAACATCTGAACTTTGCGGTAGTCAAGTGCCGCTGTTTCAATATAAACAACATGCTGTTGACAAAGGAAAACGTGCCTTGAAAATGATCCAGGATTTTCTTCTTGAGGAAAAAGGGTTTTTAAGTTTTTTAGGCCAAAAAAAAAGTCTCCGGTTTCTGGTATGCGCGCGCGTCGCCGTAGCCATGCGCGTCGGTAAAATGAAAAAGTTTTTTTTTCAATGAAAAATGATGTCTCAAAACCGCCAAACTCACTGGTTTGACTGGAATCCTGCTGCTGCACAATTTCAACGTGTTTTTAGATTGGGTTATGGTTGAGAATAAGCTTTATGTGGCCTCTATGGACTCCCATATATTTGCACTAACTTAGTTGGGCACCATTTGCAGTCATCAGCCGACATTTGAAGCAAAAAAAATCAGGTAAAAAAAAAAGAAAAAGCCGCGTCGCCGCACCACTTTTTGGGCAAGCTCCATACCAGAAACCGGAGACTTTTTTTTTGCCTTATGCATGAAATATCAATGTTTTGATCAGAAGGGCTATCTTCCATCCGCCTTTGAAAGAAAACCAATGAAACATCTCCTGAAGACCAGAACACGTTGTTGATGTTCGAAACGTCGACTAAACACTGCAGTGGGCTTTTTTCGGGGCAAAAGAGGGGATTTCCCATGTGCCGTCATGGCACTCTCCCAACATACGTTCATCCATCCTGCCAAATAATGTTCAATGATTTACGGTTTCTTGTCTAATCGGGTTCGAATCTATCTCGATGCCGAAGGAAGAGTCGCCAAACCACCGATGATTGGCTGATTTGGGGAGGAAGAATTCCAACCTCTCACTCATCACTATAAAGCCGTTTTCATCTTTTTTTTCCCCGAAGATTATATCAAACCATATGTATGTATCAGTTTAACATCATACTGTTTGAAGAGTCACAGACAGTCAAAAACTTCATCCAGTTCCCCTGCCATGCCTTTATACACAGGCTAGCCACCACCAACAGTCAGATCATAATTATTCGAAGCAAGCACTGTACTAGTCAAATTCAGTCAACAGAAAAAACAGGCAACTGGTAGGCACAAATGGCTTATAAATCACCCAAAGTCAAAGCATAGCTGCGTCAAGTTACATAAACAGTCACTCACAGTCAAATTTCCCGCACGAATTTTCCCGACGCGTTTCGTCTCTTCCGAACAATCGCATTACGTATAGACAGGGAGCACTAATAACCGTTAAACAACAGTCACTTGACCTATTTTGACTGAAAGGACAACTTTTCCTAATTATAAAGGAAAAGCTCTCTTTTTTCGGAACAAATGTGTTACTTTCTGTGTTTTAATATTCATATTCACATAATACCAATTGTCATGAGTGAGTAAAAGCTACGTCGATTGTAAGATGATTTGCTTTAATAGTAAATGACTATACTGCCTATCACAACAGTGATGTGTTCTCCAATGGTATATTAATTTTATTCAGCTGTGAAGATACAATTGTCCAAAAGTGAACAACCAACGATCACATAGGATACACAGGCGTAAAGTTAATTAAATATACCATACGTACGGTATCTTGTTTAACATCGGAACTTTGGGGAAGTCAAGTGCCGGTGTATCAATATACACATTTTATTTTATTATTTATTTATTTCTGGTAATGAAACCAAGCATTCCTCAAAAGTACCCTAAGCACTGTAGCTCGAAAGCCTGAAGCAGCCTGTGGAGAGAAGACAATGAGAAGAAATTACAGTTTTAGAGGTGGGAGGAAAAGCCCAGATGAATATTCTGAGGAAAACCCACGGAATCAGGTAGGGACTGAAAACCCAATCCACATATTGGCCCCTGCGGGTTTCGAACCCGGGTCACAGCGGTGGATGGCGAGGAAAGTACCGCTACGCCAACCCTGACTCCCCTTTTCTGTTGACAAAGGAAAAACGTGCCTAGCAGATGATCCAGGATTTTTTCTAGATGAATTTTTGTTTAAGATATATAAATAACCATGTTTTGACCAGGAGGACCACCCTCTATCAACTCTTGGAAAGAAAACCAATGAAATATATCTGAGGAACAGAACACGTTGTTCGAAACGTCGACTAAGCGCCCCAGGTCATATCCAGATATGCACAAACTTGCACGGTGCATGTAACCGCAAATCTTCCAACTTAAGTTTCTCCACCATGTAAAGGTCCAAAGTCTTGAAATCTAAAAGGCTTTTTAAAATATGTTTTGGCCCATACACTCATTCAACGACATACGGTCTCTAGGCTAACATTTGAACTTTGCGGTAGTCGAGTGCCGCTGATTCAACATAAACAATATTCGGTTGACAAAGGAAAAACGTGCCTTGGAGATGATCCAGGATTTTCTTCTTGAGGAAAAAGGGTTTTTAAGTTATGCATGAAATAACAATGTTTTGATCAGAAGGGCTATCCTCCATCCGCCTTTGAAAGAAAAACAATGAAACATCTCCTGAAGACCAGAACACGTTGTTGATGTTCGAAACGTCGACTAAACGCTGCAGTGGGCTTTTTTCGGGGCAAAAGAGGGAATTTCCCATGTGCCGTCATGGCACTCTCCCAACATTAGTTCATCCATCATCTTGTCTAACAGCTGAACTTTGGGCAGACTTAATGCTGTTGTATAAATATACACGGCATTGTCTTGTTGAAAAGTGTTGACTATAGTGTTTATTATTCTGAATGTTGGGGTGGTACGGGGTGAACTTTCGCTTGCCAGCTGCATCCATACCCATTGAGGCTTGCACAACCGAGTGACATAAAGACCGTGCGCATCGCTCACCTGCATACATTCTGTCCAAAACCTCTCTGCCTTCCACCTCGTGTTCTTTCTCCTACATTTTTCGTGATCAATTTTGACTCGGTTGCAACTTGGGCCCGGCATGATGGCAGGGAAATCGACGTTGATGTTCTGCTGCACCCTGGTTTTGCTGGCAGTTCTCGTGGCTAAGGGTTGTCGTCAGGGAGAGGGGATCAGCAAGCCGACACGGAAAGATTTTTGGCCAGAACTCGTTGGCCAGGTAAACTTAATTATGTCCTCCTTTAGACATTTGATTCTGCATAAATTATAGTACATTCTCTTCGTGTCTCTATGACGGCACATACTTCATTAACAGTGTAATGCTGATAATGCTGTTGCAGTGTACATGTGGCTGGGCATCCCGGCTGCTATCGCATCCCGGCTCGGTCCTTACATGATTTTTTTCTGTAAATGGCTAACTGATTAAAAAAAACTTCCATCTTTACAATCTCTTCCACATGAAGTCATGTATAAAGCCAGGTCACATCACCGAATGACTCAGTTTGTGCTGTTTTTCTTTGCTTTGACAGACAGGAGAGCAGGCAAAGGCGATCATTGAGGAAGAGGACCCAACTCTGTTTGTAAGCCAATTTTCGGTTTTAATTTTTGAAGAAAATGACCAAAGTAGAATATTGTTGTCAAAGCTCGTTCCTGGAAATCTCAATGTTGCCCAGACGTACATACACACGTAGGTAATGCGTGTGAAAGGGGGGAAGGCGAAAACAAACGCTGCTGGAGCTGTCGAACCGGAGATTTCATTCTTTGACGAGCATTAGTGTCAAGTACCTTGCCCATGGATGGGCAGGAGCACAATCGTCCCGTATTTCATATCGTAATCTCGTATCATTCTAATGGGGCTTCATTCCAATTGTTTTTGTTACCGATTCCAGGTTGAGATTTCGAACAACCCCGACGATGTGTTGAATTACGTTCCCGATCGGGTCATTATCATTGTCAATGCCGAAGGAATAGTCTTCATACCGCCCATGATCTGACCGGCCTATCTCAGTGAATGGAAGAAAAGTCCAACCTCTCTCTCGCCGCTTTAGCCGTTTTCATTTTTTTTTTGGCTAAGTTTAAATCAAACCATATGCATGTGTAAGTTTATGGCAATTAGGAAAAACTCTTTTTGCAGGGGCGTGAGTGACCACTGATAACAAGAGCTGAAAACAGCTGAAAAAGGTGTAAAAAAGCTGAACTTTGGAAATCTCCTATACTTTAGGACACAGCAGGTGAGGGAAAAAAGCTGAAATCCAAAACAAAAAAAGCTGAAATCAGCTTTTAAGCTGAGATTTCACACCCCTGTTTTTGGGAACAAATTTGTTACTTTCTGTGTTTTAATGTTCACGTTCACATTCACATTATACATAGTCATAAGTGAGTAAAAGCTATGTCCATTGTAAAAAGATTTGCTTTAATACTAAATTGCTAACTGCCTTTCACAAGTTCACAACAGTGAAGTGTTTCCCATTGGTATTTTTTTTTTCAGCTGTAAAGATACAAGTGTCTAAAAGTTTATAACCAGCGATCACACAGTACAGGATACACAGACGTACACTGCAAAAACCGTAGTGTTAATTTAACACCATCCGGTATCTATATAGGACAACAACAGTAAAATTTAACACCAGATGGTCCTATATAGATACCACTGGTGTAAATTTAACACTCCAGTTTTTGCAGTGTAAAAGCGAATGAAATCGCTGATTTAATAACTTTCTTTTATTATCGACTTGCACTCACTGCCTTATTAGTCGTTTATTACAACTAATCACTTATCATCCCAACTTAACTGCACCCGATAAACGCAAACTTTAAGGTTTATTCTCGCACTAACTACAATGTAAAACCAATCTTTGGTATTATAAGTAGCCCCAAAATTCCAAACGTATACAATGTATAGTTAAAGTTTGCCGTTTCTGAGCAACTCCTGGCATGTTTGATTGGACTGAAGTTGAATTACTTCATTAATAATTTTTATGCGAGTTGCATTCGTTGTAAAACAAATGCCCCGTGCACTGTTTCGAAGTTTGTTTTTGGATATCTTCGATATTGTAGGAACATGGCAAGGGCGGATCCAGAACACAATTTTTTTGGGGGGCCAAAAAAAAAATTTTGGTCCCCCAAAAAAGTGGGTCAAAAAAATTACGGCGTGGGGTTCGGGGCCCGCTTAAGGGCAATTTCTGACCACTTTAACCAATGTTTTTTTAGGAAAAGATGGTGGTGTACTCATTGCCTGCCTTTATTGCGATGTCACATAAAAAAAAAAATGGTTTCGTTTTTTTTTTTGGGGGGGGGCCATGGCCCCCTTTGCCCCCCCCCCCCTGGATCCGCCCTTGGAACATGGTATAATTATGGTTAGCCGATTTAGCGTCTTATTCCCGGACGCGGACTCACATGCACAACTTTTCCCAAAGCCTTTGATGTTTATCGAAGTTCAAAACATTGAACAACGACATGTAATATTTCATATGTAGTTATTGTCTGTTGATCAAAATCACTATCACTAATTTGTTCGTCAATTTACGTCATCACGCTGCATCCATTCAAAGCAAATCGTGGAAATTCCCAGAAGGGGCTGGTTGAACTCATCCGACACGGGGAGGCTTCGCGACTTTGTTGTTGGCGTCCACGAAGATGCGAACGCGATCCGTCCTAAAGTCCATGGTCACGCAGCTTCCGTCAGGAATAAGCTGGACCTGATCGGGTAAAATAACCGTGAGAAAAGTTAAAGAGGTTGTGGAATGCTCGAAGACATTTCAGTCATTTTTCGGGTATATGTAGCCTAAGGTGTGATGAAATAAAAACGACTATTGTTTCTGTCATGAAATGAGTACAAAGGGTACTTTTGAGAGCTGTTTTTCAGGTCCAGTTTCGACCCGAACGTGGCAACTGTGTAAAAATCGTCGTTGCGGGCAGCAAACAAAACACAGTAAATCGTGACGTAATAAACAGGACTCGTGTATGCTACTGTGAATCGGGAGTCCTGTTTATTACGTCACGATTTACTGTGTTTTGTTTGCTGCCCGCAACGACGACTTTTACACAGTTGCACGTTCGGGTCGAAACTGGACCTGAAAAACAGCTTTCAAAAGTACTTTTTGTACTCACTTCATGACAGAAACAATAGTCGTTTTTATTTCATCACACCTTAGGCTACATATACCCGAAAAATGACGGAAATGTCTTCGAGCATTCCACAACCTCTTTAACATTCAAGAAAGCAAGTAGGCCATCAGCCTGGGGGTTTGGTCAGTATCAAATCAGGGCATAAATGATTATAATGAGCATGCGAAAGGTATAGCGCCCCTAGAGTGGTAACAAGCATTTTGATGGACATTTTGGAAAAAAAAGGGTGATAACACCTAAAACGCTGCCACCGCTGCAATGCTATCACATATTTTCCAACTCCGAAGGTGTACACCTTGCCAAAAATCGCTATTACGATTATTCCCCTCATTTTGATACCAGTGGCCAAAATTTTGGACCGAGGCTGATGGCCTAAAGAGACATTAGCTCAATAGGCCTGGGATGTTAATGTTTCTCTCGCATGAATTTCGGTTTCGAAACTTGGACCAAGCATCTTTTAACCCACAAGACATTCTGCGGAGTATTTCTCTTAATAATTGTTCAATTTCGGTCACCTTCCACAGTTTTGTTAGTCTATGGCATATCCCCTTGCACATATCCCCTATGATATGCGAGCCGATTCGGCGATTAATAATAATTATTATGCAAAAACAAAACTGCGTCTTCGCCTCAAGATTCTGGTAACCATTCAGCGGGCGCCTGCTATCGGGTCTTCCGTATTCCGTTGTTAATGTTTTACAAAAACATGGCAGCCAAATTGACTAACCAACAGCTTAGTCCACATTATTTCTGCTCGAAATGAAGTCAGATTTTCTTAAATCGACTCCAATTAACTAACGCGCCTAATCGCATAAAATTGTGCATGCTTTACATAGGATATCACACGTTCGTTCGTGTGGCTCTGCACACGAGAATGTCTGATTCCCAGACCTCAGTTTTGTAGGCATAATTTGTAAGCTTACACTATAGTACAGGGTGGTCTAACAAAAAATTACACTTTTTTCAGATGCTGATTTCTTGGAATTGCCGGGAGAAATGTTAAAATTGTTTCAAGATATTCCTAAACTACAGCATCTTGTGGTACATGTAGGTTATATATGGTAAAACGGCGCTGAAAACGAAGCCTAAATTATGAAATGGCGATGGTTTAAAGAAAGATGCATCAATTTGTCAAATACCAGTTTGTCCACACGCAAGTCTATGAGATAATTATGGTCAACACAATAGCACTGCAAGCACAAAGGACTGAAATAATTGTAATTTCATCTACATGGCTGCCTTAGACGTGGACAAACTACTTTTTGACCATTCTTCCGCAAATGGTCGCTATTTCTTAACCTGATCTTTATTTTCAACGCCGGTTTTCTCCATATACGACCAAGATCTTGTAGTTAGGGATATCTTAAAATAATTTCAACATGTCTCTTCAATTTTGAGAAATCTGCCTCTGAAAAACTGTAAAAAAAAAAAAAAAAAAAAAAAATTGTTTGGACCACCCTGTAGCCTATATACCATGCCTTTGCAGGTGTAGGCCTATCTTTTTGTATCATTTTATTTTAATGGCAATCGCCAACTGCAAGGCCTGGACCACTCAAGGTCTACGTACGCGAAAAGGAGAAGTAGACAGAATTAAAGACCGAATTAATGAATCAGTTGACATTTCGCTTGACAGATGAAGCACTTGCCTCCAGAGTAGGAGCCTCTTTCTTTATTGCGGCCTCGGCCTCCTCTCCAGTCTGAAAATAGAATGTTATAAGAAATCAAACAAAAGTCATACAGTTATACTAACGGTAGTAAACCACAGGCTTTCCTGTATTCACTGGAACCTCTTCGGATGAGGCCACATACTTTCGCTTTCACGTTTAACCCCTGATCCAGAATAATATTTTTTAGAAAGTCAGTTTGTATTTTTTTCCTCTCTGCTTGAAGATTGCTTTCTATAACGATTGCTCAAAGGTTTCTGAATAATAAACACCCGTGATTGCGTGTTAACAACATTATAAATGCGGTTCAAGATGGTTATCAAACTTTCGGTTTCAAATTAAACCTGAATCAATTTGAAAGAATTTGTTAAATGAACGAGATGTTTTATAGAAAAGGATATAACAAAAAACGTCACACAACTAAAACAAAAAACCAGAATGAAAGTGTAGTACAAAAGTCAACAACTCGCGGATATATCACATACACAAGCGTTTGTAACATAAACATCCTTCGTGCTTTATACATACACTGCGTGTTTTTTTATTTCAATTTCCAGTTCCATGTCCGATCTTTATAACGAGACGTTAATTTACATCGCTATCATAAAAAATGATTATCACAGACCTATGACGGCACGACATGTAAAATTATCCACTATCCATGTTCACTGCCGATATATCAGATACTTGACCTTTGCACCGTGTGGCCCAGACGACTATACAATCATGTACACGCATATCATTTTGTAGGTATCAGGTCAACTCGGACCCAAACCAAGTCGGACCCATGCCAAGTCGGACCCATGCCAACTCGGACCCAAGCCAACTCGGACCCACTACCAACTCGGACCCACTACCAACTCGGACCCACGACCAACTCGGACCCACGACCAAGTCGGACCCACTACCAACTCGGACCCACTACCAACTCGGACCCAAGCACGACCAACTCGGACCCAACAATGACTCAATCATTAGTTTTAAGTGGCACATTTTGTTTCAGTGAGGAAGTTATTAATAAGGGAATAAATATGTGCTCGGTCGGTATTTATCACTCTGTTTAATACCGCTTAGAGTCTGGGTGCTGATAATTACCCTCGCCTCCGGCTCGGGTAATTATCAGCACCCAGACTCTAAGCGGTATTAAACAGAGTGATAAAAACCTCTCGAGCACACATTTATTCCCATTCATAAATACCTTATCCGTAAAAAAAATCAAATAAATCGTTCAAAAAATCCCGATTTTGTTCAACAAGTTCACTTCATGCTTTTTGAAACATCCCTCTAGCAAAATAATGGAGTGTTCAGCTGGCGAGTAAGATGAAAACAACCCTTTTATGGAGATTGACGCGCGCGTATCATGTTCTACGCGATGTCGCGCAGAACGCACCTGGCGCGTTGCGTTTTGAATTTAGAGCTATAAAATTCTAACTCCCTGGTAGTGTTGCGCATGCCTACGTGAGGATTGTGGACGTTCAACCAATGAAACGATAAGAGGCACTGGATTTTTAGGAGTCCATATTTTATTGTGACACTGGAAAAGTGTTTAAGACCAGCTAGCCATGTCTTTATCATCCGTTTAAGACCGGCCATGTGACGGGCTCTTGACCAATAGGAATAGCTAAACTGTCTGAGGTATTTATGAATTTGAATTCATAAATACCTCAGACAGTTTAGCCAGTTTAGACAGTTTAGAATTATATGATTTTTTTTTACCGAAAAGGTATTTATGAATGGGAATAAATATGTACTCCGTCGGTATTTATCACTCTGTTTAATACCACTTAGAGTCTGGGTGCTGATAATTACCCTCGCCTCCGGCTCGGGTAATTATCAGCACCCAGACTCTAAGTGGTATTAAACAGAGTGATAAAAACCTCCGGAGCACACATTTATTCCCTTAATAGCTATTTAGGCCTTTCATTTCATGTAATTGTTTCGGTTTTTTTTAATTCACATGCTGGCTTTGAATTTTGTGGGATTTTTTTATGAATCTGTTTAACTTTTAATAATGTTTTGATTAAACTTTTCCCCCCTGTGGAACATCATAGTGGAACATACAGGCAGCTACCTGTAAGGCCTTGAAGGATAATCTTCCCAGAGCTCCAATACTCCTTTTTGATGATTGACATTGCATCTATTTGTAGGGGATTAAACTTGATCATTTTTTTAATTCACATGCTGGCTTTGAATTTTGTGGTGTTTTTTTACGAATCCGATTAACTTTTAATACTTTTTTGATTTAACTTTTTGTTTAATATGGAACCTTCGTTTTTCTTGCAGTGTATGCAATGATGTTTATCTGGTTTTTTTAAATAGAGATTAGAATAGACTTCGTTTTTATATCTTATTTATTTTATTTATTGACTTATAATGTTTACTTATATTTATTGAGTTAATAATGTTATGTTTGAAAGTGTTTATGTTTTAATGCCATACTTTCCAATGTTATTTTTCTATGAAGATCTGTTCTATTTGTATACTCGTTACCTTGAAGTTTGGATTAAAAACGAAATAAATTGCTGTTAAATTTAGCGAGATAGTGTGAGCGATGTCAATTAATATGTTTTAAAGAAAATAAATAATTGGTTAAACTTTTAAAGCGCAATATGTTTTAATGGAAACAAATAAAAATAATAAATAATTAATTACACTTTTAAAGCGCATTTCAAAATAGCATTTCACAGAGTTGCTGACTCGAGTCATGTGACTTGGACTCGAGTCGGACTCGAGTCGCTATTTTTGTGACTTGTGACTTGACTTGTAAATACCAGCTTTGACTTGTGACTTGACTTGTACTTGCAAAAAATGACTTGCTGCCACCTCTGGCATTTCAATGCGCTTTACAACGACAAAAATGTTAATATACTGCTGCAATACAGATATGCGATAATTTACCTTACAATTACAATGAAAATTTATACTAAACAGCATCACTGTAATAACAGATGAGAAGTGGACAAACTTTATGAAATGAATGATTGAAAACGATGTCGAATGATTGAAAACGATGGGTCCGAGTTGGTCATGCATGGGTCCGAGTTGGTAGTGGGTCCGAGTTGGTTGTGGGTCCGAGTTGGTAGTGGGTCCGAGTTGGTCGTGGGTCCGAGTTGGTCGTGGGTCCGAGTTGGCATGGGTCCGAGTTGGTAGTGGGTCCGAGTTGACATGGGTCCGAGTTGGCTTGGGTCCGAGTTGGTTTGGGTCCGAGTTGGATCGAAACCATTTTGTAGACCTATTATATTGTACTGAGGCAGTGAAGCAATAAAATATTTCCCTAAAACTGCCTGTACGCGTACACACAACAAGTGTTTGTTTTGTGCGGTGCGGGTTTGGTTTGTATGCTTTGAGTTGGGCTGGTTTTTTTTTCGTAGCCGGAAAGCAAAATTCATACGCTAAAATGTTAACGGCATGATGTGATAGATTTGGTGCATGCCATGGTAGTTCCATATGGACAAGGAGAACTACTGAGCAGGGTGCACAATTATAAAGCTAGCTCAGCAAACCTTTCCCTCATGATTAGAACCAACATTTGCTGGGGTGGGGGAGTGGGCCTTTATGTGGTTGCGGAGAAGTGAGGAAAACCCCCGACCTACAATCCTGGCCAAATCTCGCTGGGCCCGTGACTGACAACATTGAACATCATGATGTTGAATATAGTCCCATTACATAAAACGCCAGTTGGCCTACTGAAGGGTCTACATTATGTAGGCCTAGGGTCTACATTATGTAGGCCTAGGGTCTACATTATGTAGGCCTATAGGCCTATATGGCCAAAACACTGAATGCCAATATCCACGAGCTTGTTTCATTACATTTGTAGGCCTGTTCAATTAAAATGAAATCGCGGAACTTCCGGGGTCCGTCAATTGCTTTGCCAAAAGGGATTTAACTCGGCCTACCTTTCCAACAAGTTGCGGCCATTCTTTCATCTCACTCATGTTGAAAGCTTGCTGGCGTTCCGCTGTTTACTTGACGACTGTGGTCTGATGGTTCTTTCTTAATCAAAATCACCTGACGAGTTTGAGAACAGTCTGTGGATGAAGCCGATCAGCTGTTGGCACGTGCAGGATTGCAAGTCCTGTGTGCCAGTTTATCCACGCACAATCACATGATCATGAATCAGTACCGCCCTCTGTAGTTGAGTTATTAAGGAAATTTCTTTTCGACCCTGGGCGTCATTTTAGGATGCAGACCAATCCAGTAAGTAAACTGCTCAGTGATAATAGCCTACACCCACTTCAAAAAATTAAGAAAAAACTCTCAACTCTGTGTTTGAGACACACATGAAATTAAAACTCATTACATCATCTTTCATAGTGCAGTTTTGTGGGGGTTAACAAGTGAATTTTGGGAGAAAATTCCATCCAAAGAGGATCTCCTATGTAGTTCTGAAGCCCATCGCCATCAGTTTAAAGGATGCCTACATTCCATTGCACTGAATACAGCAGTTTTAGGGCTTGACTTTATCCAACTTCATCACAAAAATACAAGCTCGCAGTTCTCATCACGACTTCCACCCAGGTTCTTCCCGTCAAGTTCACATAATGCTCGGCTCGTGATTTGGACGGCACTTATATAGGCAATTTCGGGCCTCTGGCTGCACCGTAGGCTGGCCGCATAGAATGGGCACCGGCCGGCCCGCTTATCGCATTTTTCGCTAACATGCAACACACTATCGCTAACTTAAAAAAAAAACCGAAACATGCTCTAATGACTGACACCATTTATGAAACATTCTTGGTATATTTCCCCAGCCCATTTATAAAGATGTAATTTTAAAATCGGTTTGACAATTAATTCCTCGTCTGGGTGCCACCAGAGAAATATAACCGCTGAGAATCGAGTGCCCCAAAAAGTTGGTCGCAATGTGCTATGTTTTCGTTTAAAAAAATCAATTTTAGTACATATGAAATGAAATTTTAAGATTTTTTTTTTTTTTTAGTTATCTGAAGCCTGACGTTTTGTACTTGTAGCTGTATTTTTTTTATAGGTAAAGATGGTGTTTTACTTTAATTAAGTTGGTATTTTAAATGAACATTGTGGTGTTTTGTTTTTTTATTTTGGAAATGTACATTAACATTTCCACTTAGGGCGGTGGTGATACTGTTGAAATGATACAAAGACATTTTTATACAAAAAGTAGTCTTTGTGATAAACGTCCGTGCACTGTACTGCCGCTTGAGGTCGCTCTTTAGACTGGCTCCAGCTGTCACTGGTAGCGGCCAGACTGTTGCCGCAGTATTTACGTGCACATTACATACCGCGGCTAGGTGCTAGACTTCCAAACCATCGTGCGGTTTTTGTGTGATTTCGAGGTGGCAATGTTGGTATTTTTGGTAAGATAAGAAAACAGTCGATTTTCAACGATTGTCGTTTACATGTTTCCAAGTAATTTATTTCAAAAAATATGAAGTTTGTCGTTTGATTATTTCACAGACTGTGAATGAAGGAAAGAACGTAAATGTAAAGACAGTCTAGTAACGCATGGAGGAATAAGAACCTCCATCATGTCCATGAGTAACGAAAGCCCTGTAGTGCTGTCACGCCCCAACTATCGCATCGGTCCCAACTATAGTTGGGACTGTCCCAACTATAGTGCGGCAGTTGGGTCGGCCCAACTATAGTTAGGACTGGAGTTGCGCCGGATGCTTCATGCTTGATAGATCTTGTTGGATTAAATGTTCCGCGGCGCTGGCACCGTGTATTCGTCGTGCATGCATGCCGCAAGGCTGGCCGGTCACGTGGTACTGCCTAGTTGGATGAGTTGTGCAGCTGCTGGGTTGATTGTCCAGCAACATTTTACAAAATTCAAAGATTGCCATGGCCGGCCAACTATAGATGGGCCCCACCCATAGCTAATGTCAAAGGTCCCAAGTAAAGTCGGAAAGTATGTAACAGAGCTGTAGGGAATGTTTTATAGTCGTCGTACATCAATGTAAACTATAGTTTGGACCGCCAAATAAAAATATTGCGGTGGCCCAACTACAGATGGTCCCCACCCATAGATAATTTCATTGGTCCCAAGTAAAGTCAGATGTGTATTAGAGTTGTAGGGAATGTTTTATAATCGTACAACAATGTACACTATAGTTGGGACCGCAAAATAAAAAGATTGGAGTGGCCCAACTATAGATTCGCCCCATCAATAACTAATTTCAGTGGTCCCCAGTAAAGTCAGACGTGTATCAGAGCTGTAGGGAACGTTTTACAGTTGTACATCAATGTAAACTATAGTTGGGACACCGCAAAATAAAAAGATCGGAGTGGCCCAACTATAGATGGGCCAGCCCAACAGTGGAACTTACAGTTGGGACCGTCCCAACTATAGTTGGGACAGGCCCAACTATAGTTGGGCAAGCCCAACTGTGGAACTACAGTTGGGACAGGCCCAACTATAGTTGGGACAGGCCCAACTATAGTTGGGACCGATGCGATAGTTGGGGCGTGACAGTGCCATCAAGTTCGTTTTTATGAGTTAGGCCCTATATATTTCGCAAAGTTCGTTTTTATGAGTTATATATTCGCAAAGTTCGTTTTTATGAGTTATATATTTCGCAAAGTTCGTTTTTATGAGTTATATATTTCGCAAAGTTCGTTTTTATGAGTTATATATTTCCCAAAGTTCGTTTTTATGAGTTATATATTTCCCAAAGTTCGTTTTTATGAGATACATTTTGTCCAAGTTCGTTTTTATGAGTTATATATTTCCCTAAGTTCGTTTTTATGTGATACATTTTGATGAAGTTCGTTTTTATGAGATACATTTTGTCGAAGTTCGTTTTTATGAGATACATTTTGACGAAGTTCGTTTTTATGAGATATATTTTACGGAGTTACGGAGTTTTATGAAGTTACGGAGCCCCTAAAGTGACATCCAAAATTATTTTTTTATCTCTAAGCACGACATAGTATCTCGTGCGCATGAGATAATTATCACGTGCGCAGGACATATATCTCGTGCGCACGACATATATCTCGTGCGCACGACATAATTATCTCGTGAGCACGACATGTTTCTCGTGCGCACGAGATATTATGTCGTGCGCACAAGATATTATGTCGTGCGCACAAGATATTATGTCGTGCGCACAAGATATTATGTCATGCGCACGAGATATTATGTCGCCCTCACGAGATATTATGTCGTGCGCACGAGATATTATGTCGTGCGCACGAGGTAAAAAAATAATTTTGGATGTCCCTTTAGGGGCTCCGTAACTGACACGCTGCTTTTGTTACACACAAACTCGTCCGCTGCACGTGCAGCAAGCTCCGTTAATACTTATTATTATCTCGTGCGCACGACATATATGTCGTGCGCACGAGATATATGTCGTGCGCACGAGATATATGTGTGCACGTGATAATTATCTTGTGCGCACGAGATACTATGTCGTGCGCACGAGATAAAAAAATAATTTTGGATGTCACTTTAGGGGCTCCGTAACTTAATAAAACTCCGTAACTCCGTAAAATATAACTCATAAAAACGAACTTGGACAAAATGTATCTCATAAAAACGAACTTTGGGAAATATATAACTCATAAAAACGAACTTGGACAAAATGTATCTCATAAAAACGAACTTTGGGAAATATATAACTCATAAAAACGAACTTGGACAAAATATATACTTGATGGCACTACAGGGCTTTCGTAGTCTAGGCTAGACTAGGGCCTATGTAAATGTCGAGAGTCATGACATCACGACGGACATCTGGACATTGACACTGACTCATGATCATTACGATCGTGTGGTAATCCTTAGGCCAAAAAAAAAAGTCTCCGGTTTCTAGTATGCGCGCGCGTCGCCGTAGCCATGCGCGTCGGCAAAATGAAAAAAAAAAAATTTCAATAAAAGATGACGTCTCAAAACTGCCAAACTCACTGGTTTGACTGGAAGTGGAATCCTGCTACTGCACAATTTTAACGTGTTTTTAGATAGGGTTATGATCGAGAATAAGCTTTATGTGGCCTCTCTGGACTCCCATATATTTGCACTTAGTTTAGTCGGGCACCATTCGCAGTCATCAGCCGACATTTGAAGCAAAAAAGTCAGGTAAATAAAAAAAAAGCCGCGTTGCCGCACCACTTTTTGGACAAGCTCCATACCAGAAACCGGAGACTTATTTTTTTTGGCCTTACATGTATCTTTAGTTTAGGACACCTCTATTTTTTACGAGTTCTGTTCCAAACTAACTTTTGCAGATGTAAGCCCGATGCTGATTGGCTGCTAAAATAAATAAATAAGATGTTCATTTTTTATCAGCCAATCAGCATCGAGCTTTCATTGCATCGAGCTTTCACATTTGCCATCTTGGTTTTTGAGTCTCTTTTCTGGTTGTCATCGTCGTCTTTTACCCTTTAATTTCCCTCAGTCATAAGTCAAAGCCCTGCCCTCTTTCCACAAAATTAAACCTGCTGATATTCAAGAAGGTGTCATTGCCAATTGTTCAGATGTGTCAAGAAATATCAGAATGTCAATTTTGAGTGTCATTTTAGTAGGAAAGATTTCCATATACGAAGTATTGACTAACAAGCCCCCAGATAGCAATTTCATGTCATCAAAGTCAATTTGAGCAGTGAGAAAATACAAGCATTTTCTTAGAAAACACTTAGAATTTTTCAGTCCAATCTCATAGGGTTTGTACACAGGTGTTGAGTGAACTTGATATATGGAAATCTTTCCAATTTTCTAAAAAGTCGTGTTCCCTAATTTATATTGAAATAAGAAAAACAGACTAGATTCAAATTCAGGTCATCAGGGAAAACACTAGAATGCACTGTTGTGTGCCACACATTACGGAGGAATCACAGTATTTTGGAACACATTTATGGGGCTAGATGAGAACCATCTTTAGTTTTGTTGTTTGCCTAATCTGCTGTGTTTTTCTTTCCTTAGAATTGGTTCAGTTCTTTACAAAATAACAGGAAAAGGAGCAACACAAACATGACAAACAGTGCCGTCTTGGCCTGATTTACGTGCAGCAACCTTAGTGGACTTTGCCGACTGTCAGTCCTGCTTGACATTCCCTTGTGGAAGGAGGCTGGAAATTAAAGCTGTGTTAACAAGAACCCTCAACAATGGACTCACAAAATCCTAGCATCAACACTGCAGAGTCTCTTCTACACAAATCTGCAACAAGCTTGCCCTAAGTCTGAACAATCAAGATGTTGCGTGTATCCACTTGCCAGGTGTTATCCAAGAGCTCGAAGAATCTCCTCGGGGGCAAGGTCGCGTCCTTGCAGCTGCAGAGGACTTCATTCTTCCTACGATGCAAACCTCCGCTTCCACGAAAACCCACAAACACTCTCAGAGCATTTGGAATCGCAGCGTCACTGTGCACTGGTGCACTGGTCTTCAAAAGTCATCTGATCAGTGCAAGCTGCCAGCAAGTCACAAGTCAACCCACGCAACTTGCTGCTCAACCGGAGTCTCCAAAGAGGACTAAAAAGCCCAAGAAGCAGAGCAATGTCTTCGTGCGTGGCTTCTTCTACGTGTACAAGTGTCTGAGCATCTGCAAGAGGCTTCTGTGGATCTCGGTGATCTTTGGGCCCATTTTGGTCACGTACCCGCTGACCCTCTGGTCTGACTGGTTCTGTCTGAGGTGGCAGCGGATGCTCTTGTGGGCGGTAGAGATCTCGGGACCGACGTTTATCAAACTGGGCCAGTGGGCCAGCACTAGGAGGGACCTGTTCTCGGCCGACTTCTGCGATCTGTTCTCCAAGCTCCACCTTGATGCTCCCAAGCACTACTGGTACCAGACCGAGAAGAAACTGGAGCGGTCCTTCGGGAAAGGCTGGCGCAACGTCTTTGTCAAGATCGAGAAGTCGCTGCACTCGGGGTGCGTCGGACAGGTGTACAAAGGGTACATGAGGACGGAGGCTCTTTCCGAGGAGTGCCTTCAAGCCCTGCTGGATGATGACGATGAGCCATCAGAGTTTGATGATGGTGAGAATAAAAACCATGCTTTTTTCAAAGCCTTTCACTTCATGTGGCTATTCTGTATAGCCACATTTGATCACCATCTTGTTCACATTTAACCCTAACCCTGCCAAACGTAGCACAGTGCATCAGGTGGAAAAGTCTGGTGCACTTTTTTGATGCATTCAGCTACCAACACTAGTGCATAAACGTCCGCTTCTGAGACAATGCGAGCTATCCCCATTGAACAAATCCACTGTTGTATCTTGCTGCGTTCGGTGACCACAGATTCTGAGGCATTTTGGCCTTAAGACTTTTGGCAGGCATGTCACTTAGACAAATGTTTACGTGTTGCTGGGTTTGGCAGGGTTTCTAGCCAAAATATCCTGGAGGATTAGGGTTAATTAATGTTCATTCATTGTTTTGACGTAAAATGTAGTTTTTTTCTGTAACAAGGTAAATATATGTAAAAGGTTTCCGTGAAACCGAAAATGCTCACATATTACTCTTGACAGGATACCTAATGCCAACCTTGCTCTCTCTCTTTTACTACATCACAGGACGAGAGATCCTCAAGCTAGACTGGTTTTTCAGGAAGCGAACCAAAGACCCCTATCTCGATGATGAAAACAACTCACAACAAACTACTGGCGGAGACCCTAGTGGTAAGCAGTCTTATTTTCACATTTAATGTGAAAGATTTGTTCGTGAAAGCCAGTAAATTATCACAATCAGTTTTCAGAGTTGCAACACTTCAGTATAACATCAGTACATTATCAGACCAACTGTGTACACGTTTTATGAAATATATGAATGAAGATATTCGAACAATTTGAAAAATTTACAAATTTCATTGATAGCGTTTAGTGGTCATCCGAGTAAAGGCAAATACACTAATGATGAAAGCTTGGTTGTAAGAACACTGGAATTTCCACACGAACATAGGTCACAGGTTCAAGTCTCAGATAAATATTTAAAAAAAATTGCAACAAGAATTTTGTTGTTTCCTTACCTGATATAATGCAGAAGAGCAGGATGATGAAGATTCACTCGTCCACATCGCCAAGTCACTCAAGGAAAGCGATGACATCATTCCTGTTGCCATAAAGGTCAGAGGAGAAAAAAAAAGTTGTAAACCTTTATTTTGTTAACCCCCCTGCTATTTAAACAGTCACAGACAGTCAAAATGTCAAAAAGTAGTCAGATCATATGTCAAGCAAGCACTGTGACTAGTCAACAGACCATGAACCAGGGGTGTGAAATCTCAGCTTCAAAGCTGATCTCAGCTTTTTTTGTTTTGGATTTCAGCTTTTTCCCTCACTTGCTGTGAACAAAAGTATAGATTTCCAAAGTCCTGCTTTTTTACACCTTTTTCAGGTGTTTTCAGCTCTTTTTATCAGTGGTCACTCACACCCCTGATGAACAGACAAAGCAGGCAAGTTGTGGGCACAGCTGGCTTATCAATTACCCACAGCCAGAGCAAAGCTGTATTGAGTTACATAAACAGTCACGGCCAGGCAATTTTGCTTTCTGTGGGCTGGGAATTCCTAACTGTTCAAAACAGTCACTTGATTGAATTTGACTAAAAGGACTACTTCGCACAGAATGTGTGTTTGCATAGAAGGGCTAATTGATCCAAAGTGATAGGCAGCAATTTAACCCAGAAGTTCCTGTTGTGCCCTAAACCACCCTGTCTTGTTACTCACTCCCTAAACCGGCCACGCACTCATCTGGATTCATCAGGGAATAAATACAAATGTAATACAGTGTAGTACAGGTGTTGAAAAGTTAACCCAATAGCACCTGAACTTCATTGTATTACATTGTATTTATTCACTGAAAAGTCATCACTCAGTGTTAACCAATTAGCACCTGAACTTCATTGTATTACATTTTATTTATTCACTGCAAAGTCATCACTCAGTGTTAACCAATTAGCACCTGAACTTCATTGTATTACATTGTATTTATTCACTGCAAAGTCATCACTCAGTGTTAACCAATTAGCACCTGAACTTCATCGTATTACATTGTATTTATTCACTGAAAAGTCATCACTCAGTTTAACCAATTAGCACCTGAACTTTATTGTATTACATTGAATCTATTCACTGAAAAGTCATCACTCAGTGTTAACCAATTAGCACCTGAACTTCATTGTATTACATTGTATTTATTCACTGAAAAGTCATCACTCAGTGTTAACCAATTAGCATCTGAACTTCATTGTATTACATTGTATTTATTCACTGAAAAGTCATCACTCAGTGTTAACCAATTAGCACCTGAACTTCATTGTATTACATTGTATTTATTCACTGAAAAGTCATCACTCAGTGTTAACCAATTAGCATCTGAACTTCATTGTATTACATTGTATTTATTCACTGAAAAGTCATCACTCAGTGTTAACCAATTAGCACCTGAACTTCATTGTATTACATTGTATTTGTTCACTGAAAAGTCATCACTCAGTGTTAACCAATTAGCACCTGAACTTCATTGTATTACATTGTATTACATTGTATTTATTCACTGAAAAGTCAATAAAACCATAGAGTGCTTGGTCGGTTTCGGGCGCCACAGTGACTAAAGGGATAAAGAACCACTCAGTTTTATATCACTCCAATCTGTCTACATTGACAGGTGTTACATCCAGGCATCTACAGACGCGTGAAATGGGATCTACAGCTACTGAGGATAATAGCTGGTATCCTGTCTTACGTCCCCGGTCTCCGATGGCTCAGTCTGCCGGAGTGCGTGGAGGACTTTGAAGGTCTCATGAAGAATCAGGTTTGTCCACATCAAACCCAACAGACTGTTTTAATACGGGAATAAATATTTGCGACTAGTCCCCCAGCTGGTCTTAAACAGACTTGTATAATACCGGCCAAGCACATATTTATTCCCATTCATAAATACCTTTTCGGTTAAAGAGTCAAAACAAGTAAAAAAATGTAAATTTCCTACGATTTTGTTCAACAATTTTACTTCATGTTACCCCCCAATGTTATGGTATGTGCCTGTCGTGAGTAATCGCAAACAACTCCATATATGGAGATTGGCGCGTGCTTGGCGCATTCTGCGCGATGTGGCACAGAGTGCAGCTGTGCCGGTGTAGTGTGAAGTTAGGACTTTGAAATATGGACTCATTGGTTGTATTGCGCATGCCTAATTGAAGATTGTGAACGTTCAACCAATTAAAGGATAAAAGGGACCAGACTTCATAGGAGCCCAAATTTCATGTGAAACCGGAAAAGTGTTTTAGACCAGCCAGCTGGTGTTTTAACAACCGTTGAAGACTGGCCACGTGACGGGCGCTCGACCATTATTTCAACATTATTGGTCGACTGTTTTTTTCTTCTTCCAGATTGATCTGAGAGTAGAAGCTAACAACCTAGACGTGTTTGTGGAGAACTTCAACGACATCAGCTACATCCGATTCCCAAGGCCTCTGCGTCCATTCGTCAGCAGAGATGTTCTTATTGAAACATATGAGGTAACATCAGTTGTCAGAAAGGGGACCAATACCAGTGTTGTAGTCGAGTGTTTTTTTTTTCGAGTACCGAGTACTGCCGAGTACTTAGGGTACCGAGTACGAGTACGAGAACAAGTACTTGTACTTCCGAGTACAAGGACAGGTCTCCGAGTACGAGTACTTGTACTTCCGAGTACGAGTATCAAGTACTTGTTTTCCGAGTACGAGTACTTTTTTTCTGAATACGGCCATACAGCAAATGGTTCATTGTGCGTAGGCTAATTGGCCCAGGTCCAGTCAGACCGATATACAGACCCACTCACGGCTAGCTGTTTAATGTGTTTGTCCGGACGTGCACAGAGGAAAATCAAGAAACTTCGATTTCTCTGCAAGCCAGTCAACCATTTCAAACTGAAAGTATCAATAAAATTAGGCGGTGGTAAGTCAAGCTATAATACCATATTTTTTTTTCGACTACTGCTATTCCTTTACGAGTACTTTGATGATCGAGTACAATTTCGACATGTCAAGTGTGAGTACTTTGCTACCCTAGTACAAGTACCGTCATTTCGAGTGCGAGTACTTTGACATTGGAGTACGAGTACGAGTACTACAACACTGAGCAATAGATTCGAAATGAACATAAGTCATGCAGTGTGTCCCGTCTGCTTAGCTTATACAAGTGGTAAATACTGAATAATACATTGTAGATCCCATTGTGTCTGTAATAGTGAGGCTCACTATCTCTATCACTGTGAGACATTATTTTTAACCAAAGACAATCATTTGAGACATTGCTTAAATATTTTTAAAGGGAATATACACAATTTGCTTTTGCTGCAATTTTCAGAAATAAATGGATTTGGAGGATTAGTGTGCTATAGAAAATATTGTTAAACTAGCTTGTTTCACGTTTTGAGTTCGGAGATGCCGGAAAATCCAAGAAAAACAACCATGTTCTTGTGGTCTGGTTCCCTGACCCCGCTTAAGATGAGACGTTGCAATTTATAGACCTCGGGGATTGTAGGTAAAAAAATCAGTCTAGCAGGCTTGTTCCCCTTGACAGATGTGTAATCAGTTGCAAAGAAAATGCAGAATGACTAAAGACAAAAAGGTAGGAGCAGTTTTTGAAAAACAGCCAGTTTTCTCCAACGATGGTCAGCGGACCAGCGTTGGAAAAATACAAGTTTTCTTAAAAATGTCAGCACACAAGGAGCCACAATTTTACAGTATGGTTTAGATTGTCATTCACTAACAGTCCAGTAAGATATTTCTTTATAATTTGATCATTTCGTTTTTTGATGTTTGCAAATGTTGTATCTTCCCTTTAATACACTCTCAGGAAGGAGACTTCATCTCGACTTTCATCGGTAACGAAGAGGATGAGGAGGACAGACCAGAGGGCCTCAGGGAGCGACTCGCTGCTATGGGAATCGATGCACTGCTCAAAATGGTAGGTACATGTAACTGTGTGCTTGCTGGATACAAAGGGCCAGCCTACGTTGTTGTTGATTCTATCACAAGTCCAGTCACTAGCAAATTTCAAGTCCAGTCACAAGTAAATCACAAGCCCAGTCACAAGTAAATCTCACAACTCAGCTCACAAGTCTGGTCACAACTATCAGTGCTGTAGTTGAGTCCAACACAAGTAAATCACAAGTCTGGTTACGACTGAATCACAAGTCCAGTCACAAGTAAATCACAAGTCTGATCACAAGTCTGGTCACATCTATCATTGCTGTAGTTGAGTCCAACACAAGTCCAGTCACAAGTAAATCACAAGTCTGATCACAAGTCTGGTTACAACTAAATCACAAGTCCATCACAAGTCCAGTCACAAGTAAATCGCAATCTGATCACAGGTCTGGCCACATCTATCATTGCTGTAGTTGAGTCCAACACAAGTCCAGTCACAAGTAAATCACAAGTCTGATCACAAGTCTGGTTACAACTAAATCACAAGTCCATCACAAGTCCAGTCACAAGTAAATCGCAATCTGATCACAGGTCTGGCCACATCTATCATTGCTGTAGTTGAGTCCAACACAAGTCCAGTCACAAGTAAATCACAAGTCTCATCACAAGTCTGGTTACGACTAAGTCACAAGTCCATCACAAGCTCAATTAGGCACTTTAACTTAGATCTGTTTCAACAGGATAACCACTTCCAAATTTTTGTCAATAACCATTCAAATTCTGGTCAATAATTTGAAAACAGCTTTCAAAAAACAATAACGATTCAACATCTAGCCTCACATGGAATGCCCTAGTCATGCCATGTCAGTGCTTCCTACTGATTGCACCATTCTCTGAGGGTGGTTCATACAAGTTTGCCTAGAGTGTGAGCAATAATTTATGAAATCACATCAAGTTTTTACTACACATATGTGAATTCATGAGAGTTGAACACATTTTAGCTCCTGCAAATTTCACTGGAAATAATATTGTGATGTCGAAATTTCTGCATTTGCAACCACTGTGATGATTCGCATGAAGTAGAAACCGGATGTAACCCTAACTTTATGCAAAGTGAGTTCACAGTCCCTGTCGTTTATCCTGTCTAGGTCTTCATCGACAACTTTGTCCACGCCGACCTGCACCCCGGCAACATCCTCGTCCAGGGAGTCGACAGCTTCTGCGGGGAGACGGACAACATCCTCAAGATGGAGGACATGTGCGACACGGTGGTGATCAGCGTCAAGCCGCGGGAGTGCCCGCTGAAGCTGGTCATGCTGGACGTGGGCATCGTGGCTCAGCTGAGCGAGTACGACAGGCAGAACTTCAGAGACGTCTTCACCAATGTTTTGCTGGGCAAGGTGAGGACTTTTACATTTAGCAACCTACGAAGTCAATGAACCCTCCATGTCTTCTGCACTTTACAACCCTTCAAGTTTTGCAAAACCACTTTTACCCATAGAGTTAACAAACAGACTTCAAATTCCTTTGAGGTATCCTTTGTGGAGTATGAGCAACACCTCAAATCCCTGCACAATTCTTTTGTGTGGTTAAACTCAGGGCAAGCAGGCAGATTCAGTTACGCTTCACTGCTCTCCACAGTGCTGTTTTTGGTGCAGTGACTTACTGTATGACACAGTTACTTATACACTTCATATCCCTTTACCCAAAACTGACTTGTAGGGTTTTAAAGGGTTTTACATATTGCTCTAAAAATTAAATACTTGGAAGTTTGTGTTGCTGTCAACACCTGGCAGGCATGACGTTAAAGGTGTCTTGGTCTACTTAATCAACTTCATGTAGTTGTTAGTCAGTTCTTTCAATACACAACACTATTTTCGTGTTAAATTTGCCTGAGCTGACATTGTGAAAAATGTGAAAGCTACCACAAATTCCAGGTCTAAGTAATTGATTTTGTACAGATCTCGAATTCTATCTGTTTTGCTACAAGTTTTTCCACTCAACAACATACTTTTTCAAATACTGTATACACTGGAATGCTGATATAACGAACATCACGGGATCCACAGAAATTGTTCATACATGTAATAGCAATCATTCGGTATAACAATTTTAAGCTGCCAGTGCTCCGGTACTCACTCTTCAATAAATAGCACCCTTCAGATCTTCACCCTGCATGCCCTGGTAGTCACTGAAAAACAACTTTGAACACATGCCGACTATGTAATTACATAGTTTTTGAGCTTACTACCTACAGCAGTGGGTGGCTTTCCCCTTAAATTGCTTTGGGAAATAATAGCCTCTCGTCGCTCTTCTGTTGACATTTTTCAACAACAATGTTCGGTATGTTTTGTATACGTATAGCGACGTTCCACTGTAGTCGTAACTGTATGAGAGCGTGATAGAAAAAATAGAATTCACAAGCTTGCTTGGTACAAGTAGGACTCCAACCCACCACCGATAGTTACTAGTGCAAACATTTGAACTGCTTGGCCACTGCTCAAGTATACTGGCATTAGCTTGCGTGTTTGTATAAAAAAAAAATTATGCTAAGACAAAGTGATATTTTGATGCTTGAGTTTTAAGTATCTTTTGACTTCTGAATTCTTTGTTTGAATCAGGGAGAGGTGGTAGCAGAGTTGTTCCTGCAGCACACCATGCACAGGTGTCCTGACGAGGCCAAGTTCAAGGCAGACATGGCAGACCTGGTCAACCTTGCCCACCAACAAACCGTCAAACTGGGAATGGTAAAGTTCAGTTGTGCTCGTTTATAGCCCATTCCAACCCACATAGATAAAACAGGGAACTACAGCCTCGAATCCATGGGCACGTGCACGTTCCTTGCACTGACCCCTGGCCGTGATGAACATGTAAATGATGCTGAGTGGCTATACAAAGCGTACTGCGCGCGCTTTTCGAAGACTGCACGCCCATAATGTGCTCGTGTGCTTTGCACGTCACGTCACGTACGTAATTTTTGTTTTTCAAAACTGCGCGATGCCTGTACCACATGGATTATGGCAGCCTCGTTTTTCACTTGTAAAAAGACTGTATCTTCTGTTGTAAAGGGACAAAAGAGGTACGAACATTTAATACAAATCCTTGCTAAATAATGCGACGTCAAAAGCTTATGTTTGAAAAGATTGATTCTTCCAAAACACAGTTTTCAACATTTAAAGATGGCGTTACACGTTTTAGACATCGACTGCAGTCCTAATTTAAATGTGCCAATATTTGATACATTTAAATGAGACAAATCCAGGGGTTGAGATCGCGCAAGGCATGATGGGAAACAACATGGCGCAGCAAGATCTGGTACCCATGGGAACGAGGTTGAGGGAACTAACATATGGTACGGTTTTGTACACATTTGGAGTAGTCAGTACATTGCATTCAGTCAGTATTTTGCATTCCAGCTTTAATAATAATAATATCGGAGTCTTGTATAGCGCACGTATCTACCAACAATTAGGTACTCAAGGCGCTGGAAATTATGTCTATTTATAAAGAAAGGTAAATAAAGTTTATGAGAAATATGAGACCCATTATGTAGCACCTTACAGGGGTTTACAAGGTGCTGCGGCGCATTAAGCAGCCACTGCCAGAAACAACGGGGCAAACCCCTTCTCTTAGCGATAAGTGTTACTGGGTTCTTTAACGTGCATTACACAACACACAGGACCTACGACTTTACGTCCCATCCGAAGGATGGAGCAATAATGGTAAAGTGCCTTGCTCAAGAGCACAAGCACCATGTTCCCATTGTCAGTATTTGAACTCATGTACCACGGCACACGAGTCGAACACCGTAACCATTGGACCACAGCACCCAAGCTTTGTGAAACTGCTTCTCGCTCATCATCAACATCAAGGAACCCCTCTCACTTGTTATGGGTACTGGTAGGTCACAAAGGACCCTCATACAGTTTCAGTACTGAGTGATTTATGGAAAGAAGAAACCTAGGGATATCTCTAATGTCCCTTCCCTTTTTTCGTTCAAGGAGGTTTATGCAAGGATGCATGGATGTAGTCAAGTCCATCGCAAGTCCCTGCAAGTCCATCACAAGTTGCACGAACGAGCTTCAGCAAAGGCATTCCTTTGTTATTGTTCATCCACTGTTTCTTGTGACTGGACTTGTGACTGGACTTGTGATTTACTTGTGAATAGACTTATTATTTACTTGTGACTGGACTTGTGACTCGCATGTGATTGGACTTGTGATGGGCCGGACTACATCCATGTGTTTATGATTTCTTGTTTATTGTTTTGTATAAAAAAAAAATGATTTGAAGGGATTACAGTTGTGTCAATAATTGTAATATTTTTGGTTGTTTTGTTTTCTGTGCAGATGCAAGTTGGTGTCCTTTTAGAAGACCTTTTCTCCCTAATGATAAAGCATAAGGTATTACAGATAAAATACATAATTCGTTTGTGTACCCGGTTTCTGTTCACAAGAAGCAAGGACTGAAAATGAACATTCAATGGTTTTTTTAAAAAATGATTCAGTGAAACCAGTCATTTATAAATACTTTATAGAAAAACAGACAGGAGATTTACCATCGTGTATATGTGCAGTTAAATTAGGCATGCAACTGGGAATTTAGAAAAAACGAGGAAACTCCACACCACGCAAGCTTTGCTACAGTATTTTTCAATTTGTAATGGCATTCATGAGAAGTAAAAAACGCGGAAATCAGTGACAAACGAGGAAAAGTTGCATTCCTGTGAATAGCATGTGAAGAAGCAAGCAGTGAAAAAAAAAGGGTTTTGCTATCGAGATATGATGCATCTATGAATCACAATACAAACTACGTGGTATTATAGATACTGATTAAATGACAGTGTTTAAACAAGGGGGTTTAGGACTTGCCTCTTTTCTCATGTGAAATATGTATTAGGCTAAAAAAAAAAGTCTTCGGTTTCTGGTATGGAGCGTGCCCCAAAGGTGGTGCGGTGAAGCCGTTTTTTTGTTGTTTTTTTTCCTTCAAATGTCGGCTGATGACTGCAAATGGTGCCCGACTAAATTTAGTGCAAAATATATGGGAGCCCAGAGAGGCCAGAAAGCTTATACTCGATCATAACTCCATCGAAAAACACGTGAAAATTGTGCAGCAGCAGGATTCCAGTCAAACCAGTGAGTTTGGCGGTTTTGAGACATCATCTTACATTGAAAAAAGCTTTTAATTTTGCCGACACGCATGGCTATGGCGACACGCGCACATACATGGTATCTTCAATAGCGGCTCTTCAATAGCCAATATTCACAAATTCTGTCGTGAGAACGACGTAATCAGTGTAATTAAGGAGGGCAATGTGGGTCCCAGGCAATGACTCGATCCCAAGGCCAGGACACATTAACATTCCAAGGTGCATTGCTTAATTGCTGAACCTGAATCAAAAAATGGTCGACAAGACTATTGACCGTTGTCATTGTCATGTTTTTGTAAAACAACACTCTAAAAAATATAGCAACTAATCGTTTATCGCTTTTTACAATTTAAACAAACAACAAAAAGGTAATTTTTTTGTCACTTAAACCGTTTGATCGTTTTACAAAACTGTAAAACGACAAAACAGTCAATGGTTCGTTTACTGTTTTTGTTTTTGAGGAAATCCAAAACGGTTAAACGAAAAAACGGTATGTACCGGATTGAAGTGGAGTTGTGTGGTTGAATCATGGACATGATTGAAGCACCATGAACGATGCCCTAGTCTTTCGGACTTTTTCCTCGACTTTCTCAAGTAAGAAGTGAACTTCTTTGTTGATGACTCCATTACTGTAACCGTAATTCAGGCATTTTATGCAATGAAAACACTGACCATTTGTTTTTTTCATCGTAAACTTTTGTTTGAATCGAAAATAAAGCAGGAGTTGGTGTCTGGAAATTGGGCATGAAGTGTATTGTACATGCATCCACATGTGTGTAACTGCAGCGTGGTCCAGATTTCGGACACATATTTTTGTTCGGCCTATTTTCCGATTTTTTTGCCATATATGCCAGTTTCATCTCTGATACCAGAAACCGGAGCCTTTTTTTTGGGTTTTTTTTTGTGCCTTAGGGTGACATTTCATTTTCTCCCTTTTGATTACCAGGTCAAGCTCAATGGCAACTTTGCTTCCATCATGCTAGCCATGATGGTCTTGGAGGGATTGGGCAGGTCCCTTGACCCTAACCTGGACATCTTAGATGCTGCCAGGCCAGTGCTACTCAACGGGATGGTGTCATGAAAGCGACGTCCCCTATTGGAGACTAATCTTATAGGTACTAAGCCACTAGTTGCTGTTCGGCAACAAACCGCCGTGCCTGTTGCTCCCTGTTGCACCTGAAACCGCCTGCGCACTCAATGGTTTCATGGACTTACCAGTGAATAAGTACAATGTGATATAATTTACTACCGGTGCTGATGAATTAAGCAATCTAGTTCACAATCTAGAGACACCTGAAATAAGAATTGTTACCACCGATTTGTTTGGTTGTGTCAGGTTCCATGGTCTGTTCAGTGTTTTTGTGTGTATTTTATAATTACTTTTTTAAGTTTTTCCTCAGTTTCCAGGCAACAGTTATTGAACTTTATTGAGAGTAATTTGAAATCCCTTCAGTTCATCAATGATTAAAGGGAATATACAACATTTGCAAACATCAAAAACAAAACTACCAAACTATTATGAAAAACTTTACTGGACTGTTAGTGAATGTCAGTCTATAGCTCCTGAAAAATCATGGCACCTGGTGTGCTGTCATTTTCAAGACAAGTGGCATTTTGTATCAATCTCCAACGCTGGTCAGCTGACCAGCGTTGGAAAAAAATGGCTTTTTTTCAAATACTGCCCCGATTTACCATATTTTGTCAGTCTGAATTTTGTTTGCAATCAATTACACATCTATTAATTGGTACAAGCCTTCTAGACTGGTTCCCTGACCTTACAATGCCCCGACATGTATAATTTGCTCCGTTTCAATTACATATAAGTGGGGTCAGGGAACCAGACTACAAGAACATGATTGTTTTTCTTGGTTTTTTCCTAGCATTTACGAACACAAAACTTCCAACAAGTCAGTGTAGCAATATTTGCTGTAAAATACTAATCCTTCAAATCCATTCATTTCTGAAAATTACAGCAAAAGCAAATGTTGTACATTCCCTTTAAACTGACCCCCCAAAAATGAGTTCACATTAGTGCAAGTTTGGCTTCATTAGTCACTTCATGAGCCTTGATTAAAAAGTTTCATCTTTGTGCTACAATTTGCTCAACATTTTCAAATTTATTGTTTAAATACAAGGGGTCATTCTTATACAGACTGTCAGAAAAATCCCCCCAAGATCTGCCACTGCATCCCTTCACTGTCATTCCGTCTGAAGTGTTTTAAAATATTTTTGCAGATGGAAGCATAATTTAAATCATTGTATTATGTCATAATTTCCACAAGTGCAACAACTCATTTGTGTGTTTTTTTTGTTAGAAGGTTAGATTTCATTACTGCACAATGTTTTTACAAGTATTGAATGAATGCACATTAATCTTGGCCAAAATCAGTATGCCGAGTTTTACTGAGACAAAATGGTAAAGATTGTTATAACATATTTCAAAAAAATGCAATGTATGACTTTGTTAATTTGTAACGTTCAAATTTTTATAAGTGACATTCTTCCACTGTTTGAAATTGATATATATGTTGATGGGCGTTGTGCAAAAGCTGTGATTTGTTTTTGGTTTCAGAATCACAGTTTTGTTTTATATAAATATGCACATAATGTAGACAGTGTGATGGTCAAGATGGCCAAGGACCAATCAACAAGTTTTATCTAAATCAAACAGCAAATAGTACAAAAGCTGTGTCAACCAATGTGAAATGTATGTATTTTACGCACAGTATTACGTTGGCTAAGAGTTGGATGCTGAACATGAAATACAATGTATTATAATGAATGCACCATTTTATATTCACATAATCTACAATGTGATAGGTAAGGACAAATAAACAAGCTTTCTCCAAACCAAAATACGCCTGGATGGGAAAAAAAGGCTGCATCAACCAGTGCGAAATATATGTATTCTGTGCACTGTATATGTTGGCTAAGAGCAGTGGACGCTGAACATGAAATTATCCTCAGTACATTATGAGGAAAGTACATGTACAATGTATGGTCAGTTGTGTGCTGTATTCATTAAATTGCTCTGTGACATCAAGGGCTGAAATAGATTAATGTTTTCTGATCTATATTTGTAGTTTGTTTTGTTTTTAAAGTCAGAGTCCATCATTTGTAGCAATCCAAAAAGTAACTGGCGTAATTATTGTTGAAAAACATACTTGGTTGTAAGATAGTAAGGGGACTAAACTCCCGGTGAAATTATTCTTTCTGGCAAGCTGTCATTTTGAAGAAATCAACGAAAGAAGGCCTTTTCAACGGTGCGTCTTAAGACGCACTGTTGGAAATTTCCGTTAGTAGTTCATTTTTTTATTCGGCGAAGTACGCGCAAGCGTTGGCACGACGCACACGCGCGCACGGTTGCTATAATTCGTCGGATCAGTGCACGACATCGCGTAGCTGCAATCGGCTCAGTGAGAACGTGTCTCGGACGCTGAATTCAGGCCCAATTCAAAACATGATTCAGCAACTTTTGATTTGAAGTCGAGATCCTAGAATGTTTTTCTCGAAATATACAGCTGAAGCTGAGCTGAAACTTCATCAGATTAGTTGTTCAGCACCCTTCTTTAGATATTGAGCAAGTTTGTTGCTGCAAACGAACAAAATGCACAAATTAGAAATGATGAACTATACCTTTAACTCAACAGTGACAGCAGTGGCTAGAACGAAAATGCCACAAGACAGGCATTTAAAGCTCTCGGTCTTTACTCACCAAAAGTCGAGTGTTAAAAAAAATCTAACCCACGTAGAACACATACAGATCTATGGATATAGTTTGAGCATGATTTTATGAACAGTACACTTGTAACAGAATTTGCCTCATTTACAACACTGTACATCAAAGAAAGCGTTTTAAAATTATTCCTTTTAAAGACTGTACACCTTCTTCCCCCTCCCTCCTTTGTGTTTTTCCTTCCAACCCTGTCTGTGTGCATGTCCCCTGCATGTCTGTTGTCATTTGCCTCTGAAGAAGTCTTTACTAAAGACAAAATATATCAGGCCTCTCTAACTTTTTCATTTCTATATTTCAGGTCGTTCAAGTCAGTGAGCAGTTTGCAGCAGCTTAATTATTTTTCATTTTAAAGATTAATTACCAATCGTTTATGTGGTCTCAAATTCATTCTTGATCTTGTTAAAGTCCTACTACATTGGATGTGTTTAAGTGGATTCCGTGCTAAAACAAAATTGCACTGTCCGTGTATTCCGTACATGTGACTTTTTGGAAGACAAGTCTAGTCAGCAATAAGCCATTTGCAAGTTAAATTTGAATACAATTTGGAACGCTGACTTAATCAATTGCTTTGCACGTTTGAACTTTGCATTCTCCCGACCAAAGAGACTGTTACTATATCACGTGATTTGGGGCAAGCCTTATGCTAGCAACCCCCAGCTCCGGCATGGTCTGGTGTCTTTGGGCCATTCTCACCCATTGTGAACAATGTATTGGTGCTCTCAGCGTCTCTTACGTAACTATGCAAGAGTTTGCCCCGAATCATGTAATTAGCAACAGTGTCTTTGGTCTGGACTCCGGAGAATTCAAAGTTAAAATGTGCCAGGCATTCTGAGCAATTTAAATCCCAAAGGGTATAGGCCACTCACAAATGGCTTATTACACTCTTACCAAAAAGTTAAATTTAAACTTTCCTAAATAAGTATTCAAATTGCAAAATCTAACCAAACTTTGGGCACATTACACTACGATACCTATTTTGTTGGTGGTGTGACTGTGACATCATCAACATACTAGAAATCAATTTAGCTTACGCCATAAAATGTTAAAGTTCACATTTTCCAGGTCACAGACTGCTCTATGTCAACAACTGACTCCTGTAGCTGTGATAATCTGTGCACAAGTGTTCTCTGTGATATCGCGTGAGTTGTGACAACAAAAGCTTGTGTTAGATATATTTTTTTTCAAGTTGTGTTCTATTTATGGCCCTGGGAAGGTCACAAACTTCTCATTGGATTATTTTTTTTCCAGAATGTTAAGCAGGCATGAGATTTTTCAGAATTTTGTCTGAAATCAGACTTTCTGAATCTGAGAGAAAGGCAATATCAGTATAGAAAGAAATGCATCTTTCAGACCTTTCATCAAATTTTCAGAATTTTTTTTAAATTGATAATCTTATCCCTGATGATAATGATGGATTCTGGCGAGGCAATTTCTTATGATTTCCTACAGGGCGGGGTGGGGGGGGGGATAATTCAGGGGTGTCCTTGCACATTTACCCCCTCAAAGTTAACAAAATGAGATGTTGGAGGGGAGGCATGGGAGAAACATTCAAACACACTGCTTCTGCTCAAGCACAGATGCCTGATGCTCACTCAAAATAAAATGTTATGGGTTTGCGCGCATTAAGAAAATTATTTATACGGTACTTTGCGCCATAATAATGAACCAATACACTCTCATGATGCACAGGCGCGGTTCTAGAGCCAATATTTTTGGGGGGCTAGCAGGGTGGATCCAGATTTTTTTTCAGGGAGGCGTGCTGAAATGTAGACCGGTTATTTTCTCCGGACACTTTAAGGCCTCTGAAAATCAATGGGGGGGGGGGGGGGGGGGGGCGGGGGCTCGGCTCGTGCCATATTTTCAATGGGGAGCACTGATAACATCCTACAATCAGGCACACTATATTAACTAAAAGTGTTCAAATGCACCCTTGTGAAGAGTATTTATTTATTTTATTTTGCATGTACGTCACATTCTTAAGTTTTGCTAGTACAATTCAGTGCAACTACATAGCTCAGATAGGCACACACAGTGTGTCCCTCCAACTGAAACTGAAAAGTGATCACAAAGTGGAAAGTCCTATTCAATATCCCCTTGCACAGCAAGTATCTATGATATGAGCAGATTCGGTGATTAATTATGCAAAAAAAGACTGCGTCTTGATCTCAAGATTCCAACCGTTCAGCGGGGGCCTTCTATATCCAGGCATGCAACTGGGGATTTAGAGGGGAAAAAAAGAGAAAACCACACAAGACTTTGTACAGTGTTTTTCAATTTGTAATAGCATTCACGAGAAGTAAAAAACGACGACGCCAGCAGATCTGAAGAAAAGTTACACGCCTGTATATTGGGCATGCCTGTATATTGGGTCTTCGGTAACCCGTTGTTGTATTACAAAAAACATGCCATCCAAATTGACCAATCAACAGCTTAGTCCACATTTCTGATCGACTCTGATTGGCAGGCACATGGGGTCGCATAAAATTTGCACGTTAGAATACAAATGTATTATCAGACGTTCGACTGTGGTTCTCTGCACACATGAATGTCGGATTCTCAGACAGATATAATGCATTGCACCCCTAATTCCTATACACTCTATGAATGGGACCCTTTGGCCAAAAAAAACCACTGACACAGTCTCATAGATCTTTGCAAATGCAGTCTGATTTCTTTATTTAAGAAACCCTATTCCTCCATTTGTAACATTTTGCACTTGGTGGTATATATGACATGTATAAATTGAACACTGAACATTTGCACATTTTACGTCTCTGATATTGCTCTTGAGAACAAATCATGT